GATAGGTTCTGGGATTTTCATCTCCCCCCAGTATGTGCTGGCTGATATCGGCAGCCCTGGGGCAAGCTTTGTAATCTGAATTTGCTGTGGGTTGATATCCATGTTGGGAGGGCTCTGCTACGCTGAACTGGGAACAGTCATACCAGAGTCTGGAGGACAGTTTATCTACATGCTGCGGACGACAGGGAAAATGGTGGCCTTTATGTTTTATTTCAGCTTCATCGTGGCCATGAGACCTACCATTGCAACATAAATTGCTCTGAGTTTTGCAGAATATGCTGTTGCCCCCTTCTACAGCGGCTACACCCCCCTCCAATAGTGGTGGTAAAAGTAAAAGTTTTACAACTTCAGTCGAGTTAATATAACATCTAAGGAATACTTTGAGCCCTTTTTATTATCTTTGGATTACATTCTTCAGGTGTCTCTGTTACATCTGCAGTGTTTTCCCAATCATCGCTCCGATATGACCATGACGGACAAAGAACCTAAAGCCCTGAAAATGAGGCGGGAAATTGGGCTGATTGGTGGTGTAGCACTAGTATCAGGAACCATGATCGGATCCGGGATATTCATGTCCCCTCAGTTTATAATGGGCTACGTTGGAAGCCCTGGAGCAAGTCTGGTGATCTGGGCTCTCTCTGGAGGTCTTGGGAGTTTACGCATCCACTCAAAATGTGCGCTGTACACTTAGATTTAGCTTACATCTATGACCATCAGAGGATCTTTGGAGTGAGAGCTGTTTCTGTACATACTACTGACAAAAAGTAATTGCATTTTTTTGGACGTCACAATAATAATAACAAGTCCATGTTAATGAGATAGTTTAGCTGTATAAAGTGGCACAGCTGGGCAAGGTTTGCACCCTCCCCTGGAGTGAGCAAAGATCAAAACTCTTAATATTCGAAGGCAGCCTAACGACATCCAGGGGTCAAGTGGACAATAGAAAATGTGGTTTGGGCACAGTAAACTCACTATTGATATGTTCTGGAATTTCATTGGTATTGGTTGGGACAACTACATTTCCAGTATTGTGCCATTCTTAGAATTCCCTGTGGAAGCTAAACTAAGATATGCTAGAGAACTATTACTGGTTCTGACTGTGTTTTTCTACGTGGACAGAATATTTTTAGTACATCCGAGGGTCATATGAACTCAGGTGTCCCTTTTTATTGCAGATTATGTGGTTTTCATGGCTTCATTAAGCAATACATTTCAGTGCACACTAGATTGCAGGCAGTGTAAAGTTGCTGGAAAGAGAAGTGTTAGGGTTAGCGACATTATGACCAAGGGGGGGGGGAGGTGTTGCAAGTGGCCAGAACAATTTCCCATAGTCTTGAAGACTGGAGACCAGACACCGTTCTGAAAAGTGTTGTCACTTCACAATGTTCTCAATAAAACCTCTTTGATGATGATGCTTCTGGAGTTTTTTGGCCAATAGGAATCAAGGTAATTGCATCGTCTTCTCTTCCATGGAAGAACTTTTTGTGGTACAACTATTACTTTATACATCCATGGATACAACTTGATTGGACAGTTTGAAGTATGTCTCTTTTGTTGCTAACTTAACATTAGATGATTATTTGCCAATAAACGTGTGTTTGTGTGTCGTAATAATCTTTTACTGACGTTACCCTGTTGTATCTTTCCAAACTTGGTAATAATGGAAATCTGTTGATAGCCGGAAGAACATTTTGTCTTTTTTCTTTATTTTCTTCGCAGAGTTTACCAGAATACTTCATTTACATGTTAAAATAAATCTTCTGGGGGAGGATGCCCCCCTTCAGGGGTTTTGGTTTACAAACATTTCACCTTTTCCACATCTTGTGAGTTTGCAGTTAACAAATCTCAAAGTTTCTCTTATTACTTTTTACTGTCAGTCAGAGAAATAACCTTGGAACAAGAATTTATTTTAGAGATATTGTGCCTCAATTTTGCAGACAATCTCAGACTACTTATTTACACTGACATCTAAACCCATAATTATTTAACATTCTTTGCAGTAAAAAGTGAACACATGATTGTCTGCTAATGGAAATAACTTGATGAAATGACCAAAGTCAAAGAGGAACATGCCTCCGTTTAGGGTCTGCCTCTTAGGACACGGCTCCATAATTGCCCAACATTTCGCAGTTCATCTACAGCCAGTTTAGTGCATGTCCAGTGTCCACTGCGAATGCGTTTGAGAAGACAGCAGCTCTCTAACGATGGAAGGTAACACACAGAAGCTCAATCTGAAGAGGGAAGTGGGGCTCATAGCAGGTGTATCATTTATTGCTGGAACCATGATAGGTTCTGGGATTTTCATCTCCCCCAGTATGTGCTGGCTGATATCGGCAGCCCTGGGGCAAGCTTTGTAATCTAGACTTGCTGTGGGTTGATATCCATGTTGGGAGGGCTCTGCTACGCTGAACTGGGAACAGTCATACCAGAGTCTGGAGGACAGTTTATCTACATGCTGCGGACGACAGGGAAAATGGTGGCCTTTATGTTTTATTTCAGCTTCATCGTGGCAATGAGACCTACCATTGCAACATAAATTGCTCTGAGTTTTGCAGAATATGCTGTTGCCCCCTTCTACAGCGGCTACACCCCCTCCAATAGTGGTGGTAAAAGTAAAAGTTTTACAACTTCAGTCGAGTTAATATAACATCTAAGGAATACTTTGAGCCCTTTTTATTATCTTTGGATTACATTCTTCAGGTGTCTCTGTTACATCTGCAGTGTTTTCCCAATCATCGCTCCGATATGACCATGACGGACAAAGAACCTAAAGCCCTGAAAATGAGGCGGGAAATTGGGCTGATTGGTGGTGTAGCACTAGTATCAGGAACCATGATCGGATCCGGGATATTCATGTCCCCTCAGTTTATAATGGGCTACGTTGGAAGCCCTGGAGCAAGTCTGGTGATCTGGGCTCTCTCTGGAGGTCTTGGGAGTTTACGCATCCACTCAAAATGTGCGCTGTACACTTAGATTTAGCTTACATCTATGACCATCAGAGGATCTTTGGAGTGAGAGCTGTTTCTGTACATACTACTGACAAAAAGTAATTGCATTTTTTTGGACGTCACAATAATAATAACAAGTCCATGTTAATGAGATAGTTTAGCTGTATAAAGTGGCACAGCTGGGCAAGGTTTGCACCCTCCCCTGGAGTGAGCAAAGATCAAAACTCTTAATATTCGAAGGCAGCCTAACGACATCCAGGGGTCAAGTGGACAATAGAAAATGTGGTTTGGGCACAGTAAACTCACTATTGATATGTTCTGGAATTTCATTGGTATTGTTTGGGACAACTACATTTCCAGTATAGTGCCATTCTTAGAATTCCCTGTGGAAGCTAAACTAAGATATGCTAGAGAACTATTACTGGTTCTGACTGTGTTTTTCTACGTGGACAGAATATTTTTAGTACATCCGAGGGTCATATGAACTCAGGTGTCCCTTTTTATTGCAGATTATGTGGTTTTCATGGCTTCATTAAGCAATACATTTCAGTGCACACTAGATTGCAGGCAGTGTAAAGTTGCTGGAAAGAGAAGTGTTAGGGTTAGCGACATTATGACCAAGGGGGGGGGGAGGTGTTGCAAGTGGCCAGAACAATTTCCCATAGTCTTGAAGACTGGAGACCAGACACCGTTCTGAAAAGTGTTGTCACTTCACAATGTTCTCAATAAAACCTCTTTGATGATGATGCTTCTGGAGTTTTTTGGCCAATAGGAATCAAGGTAATTGCATCGTCTTCTCTTCCATGGAAGAACTTTTTGTGGTACAACTATTACTTTATACATCCATGGATACAACTTGATTGGACATGAGTTTGAAGTATGTCTCTTTTGTTGCTAACTTAACATTAGATGATTATTTGCCAATAAACGTGTGTTTGTGTGTCGTAATAATCTTTTACTGACGTTACCCTGTTGTATCTTTCCAAACTTGGTAATAATGGAAATCTGTTGATAGCCGGAAGAACATTTTGTCTTTTTTCTTTATTTTCTTCGCAGAGTTTACCAGAATACTTCATTTACATGTTAAAATAAATCTTCTGGGGGAGGATGCCCCCCTTCATGGGTTTTGGTTTACAAACATTTCACCTTTTCCACATCTTGTGAGTTTGCAGTTAACAAATCTCAAAGTTTCTCTTATTACTTTTTACTGTCAGTCAGAGAAATAACCTTGGAACAAGCATTTATTTTAGAGATATTGTGCCTCAATTTTGCAGACAATCTCAGACTACTTATTTACACTGACATCTAAACCCATAATTATTTAACATTCTTTGCAGTAAAAAGTGAACACATGATTGTCTGCTAATGGAAATAACTTGATGAAATGACCAAAGTCAAAGAGGAACATGCCTCCGTTTAGGGTCTGCCTCTTAGGACACGGCTCCATAATTGCCCAACATTTCGCAGTTCATCTACAGCCAGTTTAGTGCATGTCCAGTGTCCACTGCGAATGCGTTTGAGAAGACAGCAGCTCTCTAACGATGGAAGGTAACACACAGAAGCTCAATCTGAAGAGGGAAGTGGGGCTCATAGCAGGTGTATCATTTATTGCTGGAACCATGATAGGTTCTGGGATTTTCATCTCCCCCCAGTATGTGCTGGCTGATATCGGCAGCCCTGGGGCAAGCTTTGTAATCTAGACTTGCTGTGGGTTGATATCCATGTTGGGAGGGCTCTGCTACGCTGAACTGGGAACAGTCATACCAGAGTCTGGAGGACAGTTTATCTACATGCTGCGGACGACAGGGAAAATGGTGGCCTTTATGTTTTATTTCAGCTTCATCGTGGCCATGAGACCTACCATTGCAACATAAATTGCTCTGAGTTTTGCTGAATATGCTGTTGCCCCCTTCTACAGCGGCTACACCCCCTCCAATAGTGGTGGTAAAAGTAAAAGTTTTACAACTTCAGTCGAGTTAATATAACATCTAAGGAATACTTTGAGCCCTTTTTATTATCTTTGGATTACATTCTTCAGGTGTCTCTGTTACATCTGCACTGTTTTCCCAATCATCGCTCCGATATGACCATGACGGACAAAGAACCTAAAGCCCTGAAAATGAGGCGGGAAATTGGGCTGATTGGTGGTGTAGCACTAGTATCAGGAACCATGATCGGATCCGGGATATTCATGTCCCCTCAGTTTATAATGGGCTACGTTGGAAGCCCTGGAGCAAGTCTGGTGATCTGGGCTCTCTCTGGAGTTGTAGCTATGTTTGCAGCACTGTCCTATGCAGAGCTTGGGACAATCATCCAGGAATCTGGTGGAGAATCCATCTACATACTGAGGATCTATGGTTCATGCCCTGCTTTTTTTGCAGCAATCACTTTTGTTGTGGTTGTGAAGCCGCTTGGCATTGCAGCAATGGCGATTAGCATTGGAGAATATGCTCTAGCACCCTTTTACAACAGCTGCCAACCTCCTGATCTGGTAGTGAAGTGTGTTGCAGCTGTGGCTATACTGGTCGTTGCCATAGTAAACATCTTGAATTCCCGGATTGCCGTCAGAATCCAAGTGGTGTTCTTGGTGGCCAAAGTGCTGGTGTTGACATTTATTGTTATCGGAGGAATAGTGAAGCTCATACAGAGCAGCAGTGTCATTGTGGAAAATTTGAAAGTTGAGAATGCATTTAAAGGCACTCAGTACTCTTTGAGCACTCTGGGAATGGGTGTTTATCAAGGACTCTGGTCTTACGCTGGGTGGTACAACTTGAACTATGTCACTGAGGAGCTAAAAAGACCTGAGGTGAGACTGTAAAGAATTGGATTGTTGCATGAAGACACTGTCAGGACATGTGTTTGTTTGCTGCAATTGTAGTCTTATCTAACTGTGACAAATGTGTGTGTCTGTTAGTGTTATTATCATGTGAGTGTGTGCAGTGATTGTAAAATGTGAAAATAGATTATCTAGGTTTTTTTTAAGATTGAATTTGGTAATTTTTATATCAAAACAATGATTGTAGAATATTATAATGCTTGACAAAAGTTGAAGCAATCATTTCTTAGAAGAGATTCAATTATTAACATCTTGCCTAAAAGAAAAAGTGAACCTTGTTGGAATTTGGGCATTAAAAAAGACGTGTCATTGGATGATCGAATCCTATCGTTTGCCTTTTATTGACAATTGTAATCGGGAGGAAACCTAACATTTGATGACTGTCATAGTTTTACTGAAAAACTTCATAACCTTATCACTTTGTTAATGGGACAGGATTGGTGCCAACATTTTTAAACGTGCTTTGTCAAAGCAGAAAAATACTTCAGTTAAGTATTTTAGGTCAATCGATTATTCAAGTGTCAAAATTACAACTAAACATCATGCTATCTCAAACATAAAAATGATGTTGCCTTTTTTCTTCCAGGTGAATCTCCCCAGGGCGGTTGTGATAGCCATTTCTCTGGTGACTGGCTTATACCTGCTGGTGAATGTGAGCTACCTGACGGTTATGACGCCAAAAGAGCTCATGTCCTCAAGCGCTGTAGCAGTAACCTGGGGGTAAGACAGCATCTGATATTGTTTTAATAGATTCAGGTAGACAGATCCAGCCTGTTAACTTGACATGCTATTTTGACTGTTAAAATTGCTCATTTCAAAGGAGCATGGAAAGAGTGCACTCCTGTGACATCACACAGTGATTTTTCAAAGAATACATATGATGCTAATTCGGAGTTTCATATTTGTATATTTGGTTTCTTCTATAACTTGGGTACATGTTTAATGTTAAAAAAACACATACTTTTTGTCATAGTGTCTGTCTGAATACATCTATGTACCCTATGTCTGAAACTTTGGAGTATTTATATAGCATTTCAACGTTGCACATACATTACCCAAAATGCAATATGAGCACAAAAAGTTGGTTCTGATGGTGTGGTGCAGAAGTGAGTCCTAAAACCCGGATTTCAGTTAGCATTTTACCACGTCCGATTTCCTTGTCTCAAAGTCGACGGTTTTTATTTTTGTACGTGTTTGTGGCTAAAGCTAAAAATAAGGTCTGTGTTTAACACAAGTTTTGTTCTAAAACATAAAATACGTCGTAGAGATTACCTTGCCAAACAAAACGTTTTCAGTTAATCTTCAGTCCAAACATTTTCAGGACAAGTCTGAATAAAATTCCCATGTTTACACTTTCTATGTACTGCAGCATGTGGCTTTAGAACATTGGAAAGGTTCCTGTTGCAACTTTTGTGAGAACTTGTGCCTTTTTCCACAGGAACAAAGTGTTAGGAAGCTGGGGCTGGACCATGTCTGTGGCCGCAGCGTTGTCTGCTTTCGGCTCACTGAACGGAACGTTCTTCAGTGGGGGCCGTGTGTGCTTTGTTGCTGCCAGGGAAGGTCACCTGGTTAGCATCTCCACTTTATGATTAAAATAATAGTTAGATTGTTCAGGAGCATAAGCGTGACGATCTTCATGCACTGACTTGTGTTTACTCTCTAGCCAGATATCCTAGCCATGGCTCATGTCCGCAGACTGACTCCATCTCCAGCGCTGATCTTTACCACTGTGGTCTCTCTTCTGGTGCTGATCCCCGGAGACTTCCAGAGCATTGTCAACTTCTCCAGGTGAAAGCTGGGTCTGATTTGCATGTGTTTTAGGTTTGTTTTGAGGTGATTGGTTTTCAGTTTAACAAATACATATTTAATAGTAGATTAAAAACCCTAATCCTCACAAAAAAAACACAAACTAAAGAGGGTTTCAAGTATCTTAAGTATTCAATATGAATTAATTAATAGATGTATCCAGTGTATCCTAAAAATAAAAACCATGACTGTATGGTCAGCACATGACATACGAGGACGTTTAAAGATTAGATTCCCATAGTCCAGGAATGGACGCTTCGTTTTTTCTAGTTTCATTCATGAATGATCCCTTAACCATCAAATACATTTTGGAGGTTGTGGGTATTGCCAGTTATGGATAACTAGCCTGCATGATAATAACAGTACAAAGGCTGTGTGAAGGATTCCCCTATCCTGACAAAAGCCCCAAAAGGCCCAAAAACATGACATAGAGTTATAGAAAATAGATGTCTGGTATTTTATCATTTTCTGCCTTTGCATGTATTTAATGTTGACATTTCTTCCTTATTACATGTTAGTTTCACTGCCTGGTTTTTCTATGGCATCACCCTCTCTGGACTTGTCTATCTCAAGATTAAGAAGCCGGAGCTCCCCAGGCCATACAAGGTCCGTATCACACACATTCAATCTTAAAGAGGCCCTATTATGCTTTTGGGGGTTTGCCAGTATAGGTTTTAGTTCATGTAAATGGTCTGCAAAGGCTTAATCCCAAAGATCCCTCCAGAGGGAATTCTCCCCCGCCCCCACCCCCCCATAGTGACATCACTATTTAAGGTGCTTGCCCCACGGGAACGCATACGGCAAAACGCATAGGATTAACGCAATTGCAATCGCAAAAAACGCGCAATATACACCGGATAGTGTCTGTTCACACGAGACAGCTCCGTTTAGCTCCAACCGCTGGAAAAAGCTGCAGTACATATGCCGAGCCTGTACGTGGCGCTCTAACTTCCTCCACAAAAGCAGCGAAGAAGCTAGGTTGTCATGGTTGCCCTTCTGTTTATTCACCGTGGTGGGGGCCGAGGGAACCGGGCAGAGTTTTTCGCCGGTCAACGTGTGTAAAAGTTTAAATCTTCCGGACAAAATTATAAAAGTGCCGGTCAAAGGTCTTCTTTGTTATTTATTAAGCTTTAAAACAAATGAATAACGACTATATATAATAATAAAATACACGGAGCCTGGCCTCTCTTTTTCCTCTCTTCTGACAGCGTCAGTGTCTGTCTCATGCAGCAGCTGATCCAGTAATGAGTGACCCGGCCGACAGTAACAAATAAACATATTTATAACTAGTTTAGGTAGTTTGAGAGGTAATTAAAATAGCTAAGGGTGATGATCTGACTTGAAGTGTGTGTTTTTGCTCCTCCTGCCATATTCGGTCGTCCTAGTGTGGCAGAATGGTCTATATGACACTAAACAGTTACGCAAACGGCCGTATGCGTTCCCGTGGGGCAAGCACCTAACACTCCCGCTTCAATTGGCTAGCTCTCTAACACATTGTACATGATAAGTGTAAGGGGTGGGACGTTTTGGACACATCTCTAAGCGGTTGAGCAATAACAACAGAGCTGGCCAGCTAACCAATCAGAGCAGACTGGGCTCTGGTTTCAGACAGAGGGTGAAAAGAGGTGCTGCAGCACAGGCAGTATCAGAAAAATAAAGAGCTTTCTGAACATTAAAGCATGTCAACATGTCAGAGTAGAGACACAAAATACAAATATATGAACCTGAACATTTGCATAATAGGGCCCCTTTAAACACCATCAACATTAACATTTGTCTTAACACGTATGAGAATCTGTCTCTCTTTTTCCACAGGTTCCCATTATACTCCCAGTCCTGGTCATCATTGTGGCAATATTCCTTGTTCTTGCACCCATCCTAGACAACCCTCAGATAGAATACCTCTATGTGTCTTTATTTATCCTCAGTGGAGCTATAGTGTACGTTCCCTTCATCCATTTCAAGCTCTGCCCAGGGTTGCTGACCAAGCTAACAGTGTTCCTGCAGCTCTTCTTAGAGGTGGCCCCGACAGAGAAAAAACCTGTGATATTGGTGGAAGAATCCAGAAGAAAAGGCTGTTGTTCCAGTTTTGTTGCTTGTGCTTTTCAACTACACCTGTTTTTTGCAATGACACTCATGAGATGTTGCGGTTTACATTTGGTAGCAACTTACTATTACCTCTTGTTTGTCATTGATGAGTTGTTTGTCTTTGACTTTTAACACTCTGATATGTGTTGTCTTTTTGCACAGGTGCATTTAGCTGATGCGAGCACAAAGAAAAACTAGTACATCTGTATTCAAAATGTCAATCTATTAGAAGAAGGGTAAAATATGACATGTTGCTGGACAGCCTGTGTACCTAAACACCTGAGAATTCCTGTGCTTTTTGTTGCAAGATTTCTTTAAAAACATTTTGATCTGGAAACTTTTGCAAATTAACATTTATAACAAGCTCAAATGAAAATAAACACAGGAATTCCCAGGTTATATATAGGCCATATATATATATATATATATATATATTTAGAAGTAAACGCAGCAAATCTACACTTAAGAAGCTGAAACTGTGAAAATTAGCAAATAAAGTTTTGTTTTCACTCACTTTAGTTAAGTGTAGGTTAATCCACATCAACACATCATTTTTTAAAGTTTTTTAATGTGGTTATGTGTTGTGTATATGAAAATCTGAATCTATAAAGTGTCTGTCAAATAAAGCTTCTTAGTAAAAGTGCAATATTTCCCTTTGAATTGTAGCGGAGTAGAAGTATAAAGAAGCATAGAAAGAAAATACTCAAGTTTAAGTACCTGAAATGTGTACTTAAGTAGTACTTGACTGTCCCGAGTGACTTTCCACCACTGTAATTATGTTAGCACAAACCAAAGAATAAGCTATATATTAACCTGCTGAACATTTAGCTTACTAAGAGTCCATCTCCATTGAGCTGACCTTCCTTAATCTAATTTGATGTTTTGAATCTTAAATACAAAATGAGCACTGATACAGATGTGAATTTACAAAAAAAATGTTTATTAAATAATTGTTATCCATCAAACGGATAAAAACAAGACATGGCCAATCAATAGTGCAACTTTCACAAGACAGAAGATTGTTTAACACAAAACAGGAAAGAGCAGAGTGTGTGTGTGTATACGGGCATGCATACACACACCAAATGTATCTATGACAACACATATCATATAAAGTGAATCTAGTCTGTCTGGTTACGTATCTTGTTTGTTTTACTTTAACATTCTGTAGTGGCTGTGGCTCATGGCGTAGGGGGGTTGATCCCCCACTACTGAAGCCTACGAGTCAAGATGTTTCTTTATGTGTAAGTGTTAAGCTTGGCAGCTGTTTGAGATTGAGTTTAAAATTGAAGGAATATTTGAGCTCATCAATTATAAAAAGCGCTTTTTAGTTTAGAATTGAAGTCATCGTAGTTAGCCTTCATAGTTTTAGTCGATATGAAGTCATAACATTTAGTCAATTTTTATTCTATTTCCATCAAATCTAGGCCAGCCGAAACCAATAATTCTGTCATTTGTGACAAACTTTGTTCACAGAAGATAGCATCTTATAATTATTTGATAATAAAAATGCAGCTCGACCCCCATTCATACTGACTGTGTTTATTGGTGATGCGCACCCACCCAGCCCGTAATGAGAGCCAATCTGCTACGCCTGACATGAAAAAAAAAAAAATCATAATATAAAATAATAACCCGAACCCAATTCAACTTGTACATTGACTTTATGCCTTAGTAGCACTGACAACTGTCTGACGGAGAATAATTGAGCGGTAGGGCATGTGGTATGTGTGTTTTTCAGAGAGACAGAGATGGGAACAGAAGTAGAAGTTATAATAAAATGATTTTAGTGAAGTTTATATTTTTTAACTACATTTTTGTTTTCATGAATATTGCATGTTGATATTGTCACAGTTGGTCTTCAATGGCGTCAATGCCGTCTCATCATTGTCTCCCTTCAGTCATGGAAAAAAAACATATTTTGTCATAGTTTTGAAATCATCACGTGTGTGTGTGTGTGTGTGTGTGTGTGTGTGTGTGTGTGTGTGTGTGTGTGTGTGTGTGTGTGTGTGTGTGTGTGTGTGTGTGTGTGTGTGTATGTGTGTGTGTGTGTGTCACTCAGTAAGAATCACTCCGCTCTGGCTTTCTTCTCTGTGCCGTTAGAAGCTTTTGATTGGCTTTCAGCTCCACAGCTCGGCTCCCCTGTCCCGCCCCCCTGTGATGTTTGCTGGTACAGCATGTGAAGCCGCTCTGCATTCATGTCTGCATCCTCCGCCCCCTCGCAGCACTTTATCCACGACTGAGGGATAGCCTCGATGCCGTAGTGGGCCCCGGCGATGGCCCCTGCCATGCAGGCTATGGTGTCTGTGTCCCCTCCCAGGGCCAGGCTGTACGCTATTGTCCTCTCCAGGCCGCCGTAGTTCTCTGGGAGGCATTCTCTGGGCTGCAGGCAGTGCAGGACGCAGAAGATGGCAGTTGGGACTGAGTGGAGCGCCGCGATGCCGTTACCTGGAAGAAATGACAGGAAACGTTGAGTGATAAGAAGTAAGGATAATACACAGGAGATGGGCTGCTCTAAAAGCAAACATGTCAAATAAATGTGTTTGGGATCAGGAGGGATTCACCACTTAGTGAAACAATCCATTTGCTCTGTCCTGAGAAATCCTTAAAAAAGTCAAAAAATGATATTCTACTATGTGTTGTCATAACCAATCACAGTAGTGAAAACATTATTATTACTGTTGGGGAAATATTTTTCAAGGCCCATTACTTTGACCCAGTTTATCAGTTCATACTGTCCTGACTGAGCACACGCACCTGTAACCTTGGCTGCTGTGCTCTCAGTGTGTCTCCCTGTTCCTGCCTATTGGCGTCAGCTGATAGAGGTGTTATCATTCTATCATGTTATGCACAATGTTGATTATTCTCTCTGAACTAGCTAAATACATGGGTCTGGGATAGAGTTCTTCAGAATTGACGTGGCAACTCTACCGTGAAGTCAGAGCCTCTGACTCTGGACTTGCTTTGTGAATTCTCCGGCCGAAGCTCCTAAATAAACCATCAGTGTTTGACATCAAAGCTCCAGTTCTCCCCGTGTCTCCTTCCTGAGTCGGTGACTCCCACTGCATTGCTGCACAGAAGTTTCTCCCACAATTACATTAAGTGATTTTAAGTGACTAAGAACTATTTGAAGAACGTCAGGAAACTATAACAGGCTTTTTCCAATATTTTCAGACAAGTGATTCATTGAGAATTTACCTGGGAGATTGTTTAATGATACAAAAGTGTAATTTGTTGGATAACAAAACAAAATGCTGTGCGTGTACAATAGAAAATGTTGGAAACAGTCAATAGGCGCTTTCACACCGGAGTTGCAAACCACGGCCCGTAAAACTCTGAAGAGTTTTGTGAAGCCGCCATTGTATTTGCTGGCATTAGCATTATTAGCATTAGCATTAGCCCCGCGCACCAACGGAGAGAGAATAACTTATGGCAACACACAAAAAAACATGGGAGCGGTGGAGTGATGAGGAGGTGTCGGCGTTCTGGCGATTTACTCGGAAGGCTTCGAGTACTACTACTGAAGCCGGTCCCCAACTCCGGGGACTTCCGGCCGGGGACTTCGGGTGGCAGTATATGCCGTGAAGTTGTTTGCTGCCTGCCAGTAAACCCAAAGCAGAAGAAGAAGTGACGTCAGCGGCTTCATTTGCGTAATCTTCCCTCAGGGAATTCCGGTGTGAATGCAATCGGCTCTTTAGTTCCATGGGGGTACTGAGTGCTGGGAACTAAGTGCTGGGAACTAAGTACGGCAAAGTACTTGGTGTGAAAGCGGCTAATGGCGGGACCGGAAAAGGACGAATGGATGACTAAAACCATGTTAAAACCTCGATGAAAGTCGGGATTAAGTGAAAATCAGCAGATACTGACCCAGTTCAGAGATGACCTCCTCGATGCTGACCTTGCTGCGGTGCATCAGGTCGCTCACTCTGTGGAGGCGCTCGCAGAACGGCTTCTCTGCTTCCTTTAGGCTGCACAGAAACACCATGTTAGACAATCACGAAAAGAAAAACCCCTGCAGTACTTCCTGGAAACCATTAGAAATTCTCTTATGGTTATATTAATGTAGTTCTCACATTCTGGCGTCATTGAGCGTGGCCTCGTTGCTCTCCACGTCCTCCATCTCTATGATCAGCGTGCTGATGAACTTGAGGGGCAGGTCCAGCGCCCCCTGCAGGGAGAGGTGCACGGCCAACGCCTGCAGCACCGCCCCGTTATAGCCAAGAGAGCAGGAGTGGGTCAGCATGGCCCCGCGATGAGCAAACTGCAGAGGAAAAAAAATTAAGAAATCACACCAACTCTGTACCAACAAGTCAGGGGGCTAGCAATGCAACTGTGTTCAAAACATATTCAACCGAGAAAAGAGTCAAAACAAATCAAAACAACTAAAAGGCAAAACTTAAATAAAATGATAAGAAAACTTAGATCATCTTTCTTCTGTTATGCGGTTTAAGAATATAACGGTTAAGAAAATCCCGCCCGTCTGCATCTTCCACACAGGTTGCCCATAGAAGTGTCTTTTAATAGGATGGCAGTGGGATTTGTAGTCTTTTTTTTATTCCATTGACTACAGATGTTGCCACTAGCTGACAATATAATTTGACCTTTTCACAAACTAAAACTGCATTATTTTCGATGAGTTAACCAATAAATATTATAACTGCGGACTCCGAGAACATAATTCATCATCATCTGTGGATAAACACAAGAAATGATCTTATGAGCCTTTTCTGTGTTCTTTTACCATGACGGTAACACAGTTAGTGTCAGTGGGTTACTATTGTAACGTAGACTGTTCAGAGTAACATCTTTTAACAATACATTTCTTCCATTTTAGTTGAGTAAATAATAAACACACCTTGTGCATATAAAGATAGAAGATGTTTGTCTACATTTTCTTGTGACTTTTACACTATCAACTGGGTCTGGATGTTGGCTGACATTGCGTTTTATTTACCACAGTGTCATATATCCCAGTGTAAGTGTTGTACAGTATATTGACACCGTTAGCCAAGACGCCTAAAGACATTGGTCTTAGAATGATAGAGGTGTTATCATTCTATCTTGTTATGCACAATGTTGATTATTCTCTCTGAACTAGCTAAATACACGGGTCTGGGGTAGAGTTCTTCAGAATTGACGTGGCAACTCTACCGTGAAGTCAGAACCTCTGGCTCTTGGACTTGTTTTGTGAATTCTCCGGCCGAAGCTCCTAATAAACCATCAGTGTTTGACATCAAAGCTCCAGCTCTCCCCGTGTCTCCTTCCTGAGTCGGTGACTCCCACTGCATTGCTACACAGAAGTTTCTCCCACAGCTTTGAGTATATTATTTGTGTTTTTTATTCTTTCATCTGTATATAGCACATGAATTGTTTGGCCTTTTTTAAGCTAATGTACTTGCAGGATTCTTACTGTTTTGAATTTGTATCCTCTTGATTGATTGCACACATTATAGGTGGCTATGGATAAAAGCTTCAGCTAAACAAAATATAGTGCAACGGTACTTGGCTAAAGTATTTGAAATTCTGAGAAATAAGTAGCTTATTACATTATTCTCACTAATGTGAGTTTATCTTTTACAATCAGGGATCACTTAATTAAAATGGCAAGTTAGGACTCTATGTGAGGCGATTCTCAGAATGTGCATAGCTTCGACAATACATGGGGGTGGTCTTTGTCCGGAGGATGTTTAATGCTCACCTTCTTCACATCAGCTGGGTCGGGGAAAGCCAGTGCGAAGGGGGCCGCCCTCATGGCTCCCCCGTTCCCAAAGGAGCCCCGACCATTAAACTGGTCTCTAGCCGGCCGGTACACGTCACTGAGCTGAGGAGAGGACAGCTTCTTCAGCACCTGGATCACTCCGGATCCATACCCGCGGCCCGGGGACGCACTGTACTCCTTAGCAAACCTAGAGGGGGAAACACAGGGAGTGTATTGTTTACCTCAATTTATTTGAAAAGCTTTGGGACAATATTTACACTTTAATACACTTAAACTCTGCAGATAAGCTTTTGGTGTTTCGTCCTCTTACCTGCGAGCCATGTCCCGCTCATCGAAGCCGGCACGGGTGAGAAGAGACTGGATCACACAACGTGCCATGGCCGTGTCATCACTGTACTCAAGGATACCTAACACACAAACACACACGCACAGGCACACATATAAACCCTTTGTTGACCCTACTGGCCATAAGACTGTTCTCCTGAGCTCTGCGAAGCGGCACAACTTACAAATGTTTATATTATACACACACATGTATATATTCCACATATCCTAAAGTATCATACTTTACAGTGTATAGTTTCTATTCTACTGGTCAGTATTTGATTTGACATTCTGTTCTATTTTTTGGTTATTGGTTTATGTATATATTTGTTTCTATATAGAAGAAAAAAACAGTGGCAAAAAGAAGTTTGGTGACGCAGCTTTCATTAACTATGCCCCAAAGCCATGGAACAAAATACCTGTAGACATCAGGGAAGCCAGCTCGGTGGAAGTCTTTAAAAAAAACTCAAAACACATTTGTACAATTTAGCCTTTTAGGAAGCAAACACAAGGTTCAAGGTTCTTTATTAGTCATACAACCATAGCTACAGAGTAGTTATGTCGATGAAATTCTTAAGTCACAGGCTTCTCCAACAGTGCAACACAATATTACAGAAAGACAGAAAAATATAGTGCAAGTAAATATTAAAAGTAACTGCAAAAAGAAAGGAATAGTTTAAAAAAAAAAATTAAATAGTGCAATAAGAGTCTATATGCAAGCTATTTGAATGATATATTAGGTAAATAGATAAATGATTACTAAGTAGCAGAATGTTATGAATGTTGTTACAGCAGTTCAGATGTTTAACAGTCTTATCGCCTGTGGGATGAAACTGTCTTTGAACTCCTGCTCTCTGCTGCACTTTCTCAATGCATTGCGATGCATTTGAACCGGTCACCTGATTGTGTGTTGAATTTGCACTATCCTCCTTTTAATGCACAATTTCATTGGTGTACCTTTAATCTAAATGTATTTTTTATATATGTAATGTCTACTCTGTGCAATTTTAGTTTGTTTTTATGTCTTTTACTGGTATCTGTATACTGTGTAATATCAATTTTCTGTGAAATATCTATGTGAAGCACTTTGGACTGCAAGTGTTGTATGAAAGGTGCTATACAAATAAAGATTATTATTATATCTGCGATTTACTTACATGATATAAATACACACTTTTACTTCCGTCTTTGTGTCTTAAGTACATTGCATGTTTGTTTAACTGTTCATAGGGCTTGGGAGGCGTGTAGCGTAGTGGACTAGTGCGTTGGTGTTCGGATCAGGGGACCACAGGTTCAAACCCCACTGCAGTCAGCATGTCGTTGTGTCCCTGGGCAAGACACTTCACCCCAAATTGCTCCTGTGGGGATTGCCCACAGTATTCAGCATGTAAGTCGCTTTGGATAAAAGTGTCTAACAAGTAACATGTAATGTAATATTTGAATTACACTGAAGCTATTGTACACAAAAGCCTTTGAGTCTTTCAATGTTGATGCACAAGAACAGCTTGCATTGCATAGCAGCATTACAAGAATCCAGCAGGGTCTATGGATTGAAGATAACAATCACTATGTGTTTGATGACTAGTAAAGTGTTTTGGCCAAATATTCTCTAATTCGAAGTGTCACATGTTTTTTTCAACTTTAAATGGTAGGGAGACCAGGGACAGTTGTAACACGGGACAGTTGTAACGCCTTCAATATCTCCAATCACAAACCAGCTAGAGTTATGAAACTCACTCTGCACATGCTCAGTTAGATGGAAAGATTGCTGTGAAAAAAAGGAGCCACGTTTAAATCTGCCGCGAAAGATATCAGCGAAAGTGTGTTTCTGAGGTAAAACATTAACAACAATTATATGATGTATTTTTTGGATACTGTCTTGAGGTCAAATGTCTAGGAATCCAAACTAGTATTATTAGAATCACTGTTTTGTAAGCTAAACATGTAACTAGCTAAATATGGGTCAAGCTAGCAATCAGGGAGGTTCACAGGGGGTGAAAACATGACTGGTGGTCCTGGGACGGTTGTAACATGGACCACCAGGGACGGTTGTAACATGGCACATTTACAATGATGGCTCATTTGCTCGAATGATCAATATTGTTGATTGGTGTGCATTGTCCCTGTAAAAATAAACAGAATAAAATACAGTACAGTAAAGTGTGTGCGTATGTTTACAGTATGCCAAATATCAGAAAGAGGAAGACAGACAGGGGAGTGCCACTTCCTCTGCTGCAGAGGGCCTCAAATGAAGTTCAGGAGGGCAAATCAGTCAGGGCAGTGGCAAAGTCCCATGATATATGCCATGTCACTCTGTACCGGTTCCATAAAAAGAGGCTGAGGTTGCAGAGTCAGGGATCCAAATCACCCCAAAGAGTAGGCTACTGGACACCCAAGAAGGTGTTCTCAACAGAGCAAGAGATGCTTTTGAGAGACTACCTGATGGAGGCAGCTGATTTATACTATGGTCTCAGCTCAAAGAAGGTAGGTCTACATCATTAAGGTAGAATAGGCTATCTATACAGATGGAAGTCACTTTTACACCTGCCACAACTGTGAATCCGATTAATTCCATCTGGTGTTCTGTTTTAAGTTCTGTTCATTGTTTGTTGGAGGATGTATGAAACCCCATTAAAATCTTGTTGCCTTAGAATTTGACAGCTTTCCCTCTTTTTTGTCATGTAGTGTGAAAAAAGGTAACCGTTATTAATATGTTACAACCGTCCCTGGCATGTGTTACAACTGTCCCTGTACACAGGGACGGTTGTAACAGTTGAGTTTTAAAAAAAAAATACATTTTCCAACCTGTACTTATTTAATAGAAACATCTTAAATACATTGTTTCAGTAGTTGACACATTGAGAATGTATAATATAGCAAAATGGCTATCCTAGTGTAAATGGTTTTTTACTTATTGGGGAAAACCCAAAAAGTGTTACAACTGTCCCTACATTTTGAGTTGCTGCACATCATTCTGGGTACCCATTGCTGATGGGTCCCTTCCTTTGATTTGGACGTTTATGATAGAGTACACAGATGCGAGTCATTCAGAATGAATGCATGCTTTTACAGTGTTGTTAATCCCCCTATGTAAGGCTTCATTGACCCAGAATATTGCCCTAGTTTAAAGCAGGTACCTGACCACTATGACAGGCTGATATATCATTCACAGCCTTTCTACAGGAGAGGTTAGCATTGGTTAAGCATGCATCTCTCGTACTGCTACCTATATATCCTATTTCAGAATAAAATATATAATTATTTCTCTAACCATTCCCTTTGGTGTCGTCGTCCAGGCTGCTGAGATGCTGCAGCACGCTCTCCATGGGAACCTCCTCCGCTCCTTCAAACTCTCCGCCGACACAATCCCCCAGCACGGCCGCCACCAGCGCTCCCCTGAACCGGGACAAAGACGCCGGGCCGCCCGCTGCCGCCGCTCTCGCTGCCGTCATTGCCATTCATCCGCCGGGGAACAGACGTCAACCTACACCGAGAAAACAGTCCTCTGGTCGGCTAACCGGACTGTCAGACAGGGAGAGGATACAGCGCAGACAACAACAACAGATGTCGGCTCAGCTCCCCCTCAATTCTGCTTCCTGACAACGATGGGATGCCCCTTGACCCCGATGCACATAGAAATACACACATATAGAGCGGCTCTCGTGTAGATGTTTCTATCAAGAAACCGGCTGCTGTGGTTTCTATATTTCTGTACAAGGACATGAGTAACAGAAGAATATGCAATTAAATGAGACACACTTTATTAATATAGGTAGTTGTCGCTGACTAGTCGTTGAAGGGTTTATATTTGGCCTCAGTTGACGGATTTTGTCTCTGCTTATTTGAATATTTTTACAAAATAGCTCACTCTTCTCTCGTGCCCGCAGTTTGCGCAAATACTATGTTTTTTACGGTAGTGCAATAGATTTCTTAAGATCGCCCCCTGCTGGATAGGAGTTCTGACCCTGACAGGATTAGATCATTTTTCAACGCCTACTCAATAACATCATTAAATAGATCTAAAACACTTGAACTGGGAACAAATTACAGGGAATTTTATTTCCCGTTTGGTCCTTTTCTTCATTGTGCTCTGTGCAAATTGTCTAGACTCTAGTGGATACAAAGTGACAAAATGATCATACCACAAGATTCAAGATTCAAAGTGTTATTGTCATATAGGCTAGCTACAGTAGCTACAGTGTAGTTATGGAAATGGTAATCTTAAGTCCCAGGCTCCTCCAACGATGCAACATAAATATATAAGACATTAAACAATAGAACACATTTAAAGAACAATATAAATAAAATATTGCAAGAAGAAAAAGGAGAAATTAAATAGTTCAAACTTATATTGCAAGACCAATGTGCAAGTAATGCAGGAGAAGTGAACTACATGTCAAAACACGTGTTATTTGGCTGATTGATCTTGAATGAATGAATATAATTGCAGCTACAGGCCTTTTCTTATCACTTCCAATTAATATATAATCTAAGAATGTTAGTAACCTATTTCAATTGTCTGAATAAGTTACACCTACCCTTACATGAAATGAGTAAGGTCAAAGTCATTTCATAGGCTATAATATTGAGAGCGATGATATTTTGCAGATGATGTTTTAGGTACCTACATATTTCTCGGTATAACACATTTTGTTTAAAAAAATAATAATTCTTACAATGTTTAGTTGTGTATGCAATGAATTATGTATCATATATTATGACAGTCAGATTTTGGTAAAATGTTATGGATAAATTAAATGTGTTTGGTTATTATCAAGCTATGTAAACCACAGTGCAACCATTAAACTACAATGCCTATTCGTCACTGAAGGCTTCTCAATTCTCTAATTTCCCCTCCTCGACTCCTATCCTCGTGTCTTAGTCCCGCCCACAGGAGATGCGAGCGGAAGAGTCGAGGAGGGGAGCTGAGGGGAGAGGAGGGGAAGCAGCAGGCGTTTAGAGAAATGAGAACTCCTCTCCTCTGAACGGTCATTTTAAAGAGACGTCCATTAATGATGACAGGAGGCAAAGCAGCCCGCTGTATAGAAAACTGTGGCCGTTTCTCAATCGCGAGGATATTGGCTTCCAAGCCAATATTTCAAGGATGCTACGTCATCGAGTGCCGCCGAAGGACTGTTCCAATCTCCAGCATACTTGGAATTCCACCGAGGCCGCGTCCTTGGTTTGGGGGAAATTTCGAGGCTGCACATGGTTAGACTTCGCGTCCTTAAAATCCCCACAATGCTTTGCTCATGGACCAATTTCCCCAAATCTGTGGCGGAAGATGTAAGGCGGGGCCTCTCATATGACGCACACCTGCACACTTGCTAGCCTGTTCCACTCTTTGTTTTCCGAATGCCAGGAAGTATTCTTGCCTCGCTTCTGAAGCAAGATGCTCGGCTCGGCTGTGCTACCAAGCCAGCATCCTCGCGATTGAGAAACGGCCTGTAGTTTCCCCACAGCAGCAGGCGCACATTCATGACGTCCGCTGGCGCATCATAAACACGTTGGATAGTGAAAGTTCAGTCGGATTCTCAAAGCACCGCAGTCTCTTCTCCTAAGTCCTTTTGAATTCTCCTATCCACTATCCCTTAACCCCGATAGGATTTGATAGGAGCTGATTTTTGGACTATTCGACTGCATTTTTTGATTTTTGCATTTTTTGATTTTTGACAACCGGGGTTGCAGTCGAATAGTCCAAAAATCAGCTCCTAACGTCTATCCCTATCGTCTATCCCTTGACTTCTGTGTGAAACGTCACAGGGTTAAGGGATAGTGGATAGGAGAATTCAAAAGGATTTAGGTCTTAGGTAGGTGTGCGTCTGCTGCTATGGGGAAACTATGGAAACTACAGTTTTCTATACAGCGGACTACAACATGGATGTATAATAAGAACGAGGAACTACTGTAAACTCATCTAGAGACTCTGCACCGTGCTCTGATGCTGTTGTTTTATGCTTTATGAACGGGGACAACAGAGAAACATATTCTTCATGACCAAAGTTGGAATTGAAATAAAAAAGGAAAGTGAAACTTATGCTCGTCACCCTCTCCCTCCGGTCCACATTAATACAAATGATCCCAATACGTATGACTGTATGAACTATGAAAAGATCTTAAAATCAATACAAATGGATTTATTATAAACGTTAGTCCTTAACATCTATCACTGTGTATATCAGCATTCAAAAATCTTTTAAAAGTTGAACAAACCCCACACAGCTCAGTAAACACTGGAATGTTGACTTTATTTGATAATTTCAGTAAAAACTAACGTTCATATTTCTCTTTTCGATTATAATACTGATGAACGTTCAAAACAAAGCACTTTGGCAACTTACCACATACGTTTTAAAATGCTTAATAAGCACCGTAACTTTCATGATATCATTTCTCGGTCATAATCGGTTGTTTCCGTGAACGGCCGAATGTTGTGTGACGGCAAATGCTGCGGCTGCAAGGCATTGTGGGGCAGCATTTTCTCCTCTCCTTTCGTCAAGGGAGGTCCAGTGGTTCCTAAGCTAAAGGAGGTTATAAAGGAAGTTTGAAACCTCGGTTGCGGTCGAATAGTCCATTTAGCTTAGGAACCTTCCTAACGGAGTGAAATGACCCGGAAGTCCCTCAGTGGCAGCCATGATAAGTGCCGTTCGAATTCTCTAAATTAAAAGGAAAGGAGGTTTCAAACTTCCTTTATAACCTCCTTTAGCTTAGGAACCACTGGACCTCCCTAACCGAAAGGAGAGGAGAAAATGCTGCCCCACAATGCCTTGCGGCCGTTCACGGAAACAATCGATTATGAACGAGAAATGATATCATGAAAGTTACGGTTCAAAACGTATGTGGTAAGTTGCCAAAGTGCTTTGTTTTGAACGTTCATCAGTATTATAATCAAAAAGAGAAATATGAACGTTAGTTTTTACTGAAATGATCAAATAAAGTCAACATTTCACAGTGTTTACTGAGCTGTGTGGGGTTTGTTCAACTTTTAAAAAGATGTTTGAATGGTGATATACACAGTGATAGATGTTAAGGACTAACGTTTATAATAAATACATTTGTATTGCTTTTAAGATCTTTTCATAGTTCATACAATCATACGTATTGGGATCATTTGTATTAATGTGGACCGGAGGGAGAGGGTGACGAGCATAAGTTTCACTTTCCTTTTTTATTTCAATTCCAACTTTGGTCATGAAGAATATGTTTCTCTGTTGTCCCCGTTCATAAAGCATAAAACAACAGCATCAGAGCACGGTGCAGAGTTTACAGTAGTCCCTCGTTCTTATTAAACATCCCTGTTGTAGTCCGCTGTATAGAAAACTGTAGTTTCCATAGTTTCCCCACCGCAGCAGGCGCACATTTATGACCTCCGCTGGCGCATCATAAACACGTCGGATAGTGAAAGTGCAGTCGGATTCTCTAAAGTACCGCAGTCTCTTCTCCTAAATCCTTTTGAATTCTCCTATCCACTATCCCTTAACCCCGTGACGTTTCACTCCGAGGTCAAGGAATAGACGATAGGGTTAGAACTTAGGAGCTGTTTTTTTGGAGTATTCGACCGCAACCCTCCTTTCCTATCATTTAGAGAATTCGAACGGCACTTCTCATGGCTTCCACTGAGGGACTTCCGGGTTGCTCCGGGGTGGAATGGCGTCTTTTGGCGCAGTTCCACTACAGCGCGGAGCTCGCTTTAAGCGTGCCGTGTCGTGCCGTGCCCGTTTTTGGTTGCGCTTCCACTAGGCCTAGTTCCGGCCCGGCCCGGCCCGGGGCCACTTTTTCACGTCTTTTCTGGCCCAAGAAAATTGTGGTTCTATCGAGGCCAACAAACAGGGCTGAGTCGGGCTGAGTATGCTAAACTAGAGAGAGGAGCGCTGGCAAGGGGGCTACAACTACAACAAGATGGACATATTTGACCGTGTTTTAATTGTAATACACGTTTCAAAATGATGCCGAAGTAACAACATACTGATACCGGTTAGTAAAAACCATGAATTAATGCTTTGTCAAGTCTGCAGACAGACGGCAGGCGAAAAACCTTTTAAAATACGTGTTTTTCTAGATGGAGATTGGCTAAGCTAACGCAGTATATGCTCCGACCGTCCACACTCACAACAACGGCCTATACAGACATAAATAAAGCAGCGACTGTATTCACCATGACACAGGCAGTCTGTGGTGTGTACTTGTTTAACTTTTGTCGAGTTTCTGAACATATATAAGGAGCTGTGAGCTCTGAGTGCTAACAGCTAACGGCTGTGTTGTGTTTCTGGAGTTCTCATTGAAGATGACGTCACGGCTCCGCCTACACTGCGTTACTATAGTAACTACCCCAGTTCCTAAACTGTAATGGAAGTGCAGCATGAAGTGAGTCGGCCCAACGCGGCCAAGCCGTACCGAGCCGTACCGAGCGTGGCCGAGGCCGACCGTGTAGTGGAAATCCGCCATTTGAGTCCTGGAGAGGAGGATATGGAAAGTGCATCTGAAGGAGAAGGAGGATGGAATGAAGTAAGGAAAAAGACTTCAAGAAAGAAGATAGACATGTCAAGTGACAGTCTTAGTGAATCTGATTTGCAGAATGAATTGAAGAAAGTAAAGAAAAGGATTGAGAATGAAGAGTGGAAAGTGATTGTGGAGTTTGGTGAGCAATCCGCAGCTAAGCTACATCCAGTGGCCCTGACTAAAGCGATTCACAAAGAAATTGGATCGATAAAACAAGCAAGATTTCTGAGCAAAGGACGGATGTTGGTTGAAATGATGAATGCAAAACAACAGGAAAAGTTACTGAAAATGAAGACCCTGAATGAAGTTCGGATTAAATGCCATGTTCCTGGAGCAAATCGGAAAATACTTGGAGTTGTCATTGGAGTTCCGATAGAAATCGGCATAGAAGAACTCAAGAAAGAAATTAAAGGGGGAAAAGTGTCTGTAGTTAAGCGTCTTCCTACTAGGTATCAGGGTAAGATAGTGGATAGTTTGTCTGTTCTTCTTCAGTTTGAAGAAACAATTCAACAGAAGATTATGATCGGTTGCATGAGCTTTCCAGTAAGAGAATTCATCCCTAAACCTTTGCGGTGCTTTAAATGCCAAAGGTTTGGGCATGTGGCAGACAAGTGCAAAGCAAATAAGCCCAGGTGTCCAACATGTGCGGGGGAACATGAATATGGTAGTTGTGCTGCAGGTGCTAAGGTGAAATGTTGTAACTGTGGTGGGGAACATAGTGCTGCGTATCAGGGCTGCGAAGTGCAGAAAAAGGCCAAGGAGGTGCAGAGATACAAAGTGCAAAATAAAGTCTCATATTCTGAAGCAACAGAAAAGGTATCACTAAACATAGCTAGGAAATCCCAAGTAGCAGCAAGTATATTCTCTTCAAAAGATTTTCCCAAACTCCCACAGGCAAAGGAAAGCTCCACAAAGTGTTCACATAAGTGTGTGATAGGAGAGGATGCATTGAGTGTTAATAAGTACACATTTGTGGCCTTTATTGGAAAAGTGGTGAATGTTGCTTTGCAACAAACAAAAAAGAGGTCAAGACTGAAAACAATAGTGGAAGCAGCAGGTGAATGTTTGGGGATAAAGGATATAACGGTTGAAATGATACATGATATGTTAGCCCCCAATAATGATGATTCACAGATTAGTGAGTAGATTGATGGTTTTTCTCATTCTGCAGTGGAATGCTAGAAGCCTTATTGCAAATGGACAAGAATTCAAGACCTATATATATCAGTTAAAAGAAAAACCAGACGTTATTTGTATTCAAGAAACATGGCTGAAGAATCATTTGGACTTCATTATTGGGGGATATAGTGCTATAAGACAAGATAGAAATGATGGTCAGGGAGGGGGATGTGCAATCTTTATCAGAGAAATAATGTCTTATAGTAGGCTAACATTTAAGAGCAGTCATGATTTAGAAATAGTGGGTGTAGAAGTTTGGATTAATAAAAGGAATATTAGTGTCCTGAATTTTTATAATCCATGTAATAAACTCAAAATAGAGGAATTAGACAGTCTTTGTCAAGGAAATGAAATAATATGGTGTGGTGATTTTAATGCACATAATACAATGTGGGGAGGGAGATCAACAGATTACAACGGACAGGTGGTGGAGGACTTAATGGAGGCAAATTAATTAGTTTGTTTAAATAATGGGCAAGGTACAAGACTCAATTTTAGAGATGGAACAGAGTCTGCGATCGATCTAACTCTGGTAACAAGTGAATTAGCTTCTGGTAGCAGTTGGGAAGTATTGGCAAATAACAGTATTGGGAGTGATCATCTTCCGATTATAATCAAGTTTGATATAAGTAATGTGGTTGAGCTAGACGGTATCATGAGATGGACTTTTTCTAAAGCAAATTGGGAGATGTTTGCTAAATTGTGTGATAATGAATTTGATCAGATTGATATGGCAGGAAGTATTGATGATATAAATGAGCAATTTACTTCAAATATAATTAAAAGCGCTAATCAATCTATTGGGAATAAAACTGGTAAACTTTGTAAATGTGTTAAGATGGTACCGTGGTGGAACAAAGAATGTAATGATGCAATCCGAAACAAAATCAGGCTGTTTGGAAAGCTAAGAAAGACACATTCATTACACAATTTATTAGAATATAAGAAGGCACAGGCTCAGGTAAGGAAGATTGTTAAAAGAGCAAAAAGGGAGTGTTGGAGAGGATTCTGTTCAAGTATTGGGAGAACTACGCCATTAGATAAAGGATGGGGAATGATTAAGAAGATGAGGGGAATTAGACAGCAGAGTAACCTGCCAGTGTTAGAGAATGGAGGGGAAATTGCCACTGGTGCTATGGAGAAGGCAGAAATTCTAGCTAAACATTTTGTTAAAGTTCATTCTTCGGAAAATTTGACAGAAGAAGGTAAGATCAGGAGGCAGGAAGTGTTAGATGAGCATCCTAATGTATATGAAGAAAGACATTCGTCGCAGAGTGTTGTAAATGTACCTTTTTCTATTCAAGAGTTGAGAAGAGCATTAAGTAAGTGTAAAATGACTGCTCCTGGGAAAGATAATGTATGTTATATAATGTTGACCAAATTAAGTGATTTTGCATTAGGAAAGCTGTTGGAGATGTATAATAAGATTTGGGAGAAAGGGAAGCTGCCAATAATATGGAAAGAGTCTGTCATTATTCCTATTAGAAAACCTGGGAAAGATCCAACTAGTCCAGGCAGTTAAAGACCTATAGCTCTGACATCGCACTTGTGTAAAGTTATGGAAAGAATGATAACAGAAAGGCTGAAATACTACGTTGAGAAAAATGAACTAATGACTCCTTATCAGAGTGGGTTTAGAAGAGGGCGGAGTACTTTAGATCCACTGCTGTGCCTGGAATCTGAAGTTAGGAAAGCCCAAGCGAATAAGGAGTGTGTTGTAGCTGTATTCTTTGATGTGGAAAAAGCTTACGATATGATGTGGAAGGAAGGATTATTAATAAAACTGGACATTATGGGTCTGGGAGGTAATGTATATAATTGGATTATGGATTTTTTGTTTGGCCGTGCCATCAGAGTCCGAGTTGGCAATTCTTATTCTCGAAGGCATGAAGTTGAAAATGGAACCCCACAGGGGAGTGTAATTAGTCCTCTTTTGTTTTCTATCATGATAAATGATATATATACACAAGTAGGATCTGATATCGGTAAGTCACTTTTTGCAGATGATGGAGCTATTTGGAAAAGGGGCAGAAATGTAAATTATATTGTAGGTAAGATTCAGGAAGCCATTACGGAAATTGAAAGCTGGTCTCTGACATGGGGGTTTAGATTGTCGGTGGAAAAAACTGAAACTTTATTTTTTACGAGGAAAAGGATAGGTGAGGAGGTTAGGTTAAAACTTTATGGACTAAAGAAAGTGAAGACATTTAAATTTCTGGGAATATGGTTGGACGAGAGAGTCACATGGAGTACTCACATTGATAAAGTAGTAGATAAATGTAAAAGGGTTTTAAATGTTATGAGGTGCTTGGCAGGCACTAAGTGGGGGGCTGATAAAGCTGCTTTGAGGAACGTATACACAGCATTAATTAGATCAGCCATAGAATACGGACTAATAGTGTATGGTTCAGCTGCATACTCTTCTCTTCAAAAATTAGATAGAGTCCAGGCACAAGCACTAAGGATATGCTGTGGGGCAGTCAGATCTACACCAGTGTAGGCACTTCAGGTAGAGGTCGGAGAAATACCAATTTTTTTGAGGAGAAAACAGTTAATTGTTAATTACTGGGCAAATCTACAGGGCCATAAAGATACTCACCCTACTAAACAAACTGTAAAAATAAGTTGGGAAAGTAACAAAATGAAAAAATAAAGTTTTTGTGTTTGTGTTTCGGAATTATGTAAGGAATTCAAAGTTAAAGAATGGAATATTAGTCCGACGATGTTGTTATCAGCTGTTCCACCATGGTTGCTACCTCAACCTATAGTAGATTTATCTTTATTGAAAAGGTTACATTCAATGAAAAACAAAATTAATGTACAGGCTTATGTGAATACTGTTCTACATGAACAATATGGGCAGTTTATACAAATATTTACTGATGGATCCAAAAATCCAGAAAATGGTCAAACTAGTTGTGCATTTTATGTTCCTGAATTAAAAGTAAAAGTGGGAAAGCGGACGAGTGATCATATCGCAGTATATACAGTAGAGATGATGGCTATCTCACTAGCACTTCAGTGGGTAGAGGAAATACAGCCAATGCGAGTGGTCATTTGCTCTGACTCCAGTGCAGCTCTGGAGAGTATAAACAACTTCTCTTCAGAATGTCGACAGGATATTTTACATGAAATTTTACACATCATGTTTAGGTTAGTTCATCTGGGAATTGTTGTTCAATTTGTGTGGTTTCCAGCGCATGTGGGTATTAGAGGGAATGAGGTAGTGGATCAACTGGCAAAATGTGGTTTGAAAGCAAACCAGATTGATATTATGGTACCCATCAGTAGAGCAGAAGTAAAATCTGTTACAAAAGTTGTTATCAAGCAACAATGGCAAAAACTATGGGACAGTAACACCAAAGGAAGACATTTATACCGGATACAAAGGGAAGTAGGAACGGGAAGCACTTGGGGGAGTAGTAGAAGAGAACAGAGCATTAACAGCAGGATAAAAGTGGGTCACTCTGGATTAAACTCATCACTGCATCTGATTGGAAAACATCCAAATGGCAATTGTGATGGTTGCCAACAACCAGAGACAATACATCATGTATTTTTTAGCTGCCCGGATTATAACAGACAAAGACTCATTCTGAAAACTGCACTGGAACAACTCAACATCAAGGACATGGATTTCAAGTCAATATATTAAAGTAAATCAAGAAATGAAGCAAACAAGTTGATCTTCAAATTCCTCAAAAGCACTGGTCTGAGGACAAGGATTTAGTATAAACATTTAATAAATCAACAGTAGGTGGCGATATATGCTCCAAGTGGAAGCGATTTGCCATTAAAGAGAAGAAGAAGAAGAAGAAGAAGAATAAGACTTCCGGGTCATTTCACTCCGTTAGGAAGGTTCCTAAGCTAAGACGGTCACTACCGGAGGACCGAGGAGTCGAGGAGGGGAAATTAGAGAATTGAGAAGCCTTCATTGTTTCATGCAAAGCTAAAATTACCGTATTGGCACGAATATAGCGTGGTGTATTGTTCACAACAGGACATTTGAATGAGCAGGGGTTCGGTGTGTGGTCCATATGTGAGGACGACTAGAAAGTAAATGCCAATACGCATTTACAACAGCAGACTACTCTTCAACGAAAACATTTTCAAAATTAGTGGAGCAAAGTACTTTCACTGACAACTTCCTACAATGTCTGCAAGCGTAGAAGAAGAGGAAAATCCACCAGAAAACAAGGTAACTACATCGTCCTCGCTCGACACATTCGTCTGTATGTTTAGAGCAGCGTAGCATTTATCGGGACTTAAGGGGGTGGAATATAATAATAATGTTTATGTTTTATTAATCACCAGAAACTAAGAAGCGTTGTATTTTTAGGCTTGAATGCTTCATTTATTTTTGCCAGAAAGCGTCTCACAGAGCCCGCCATGTTCCTACCGTAGGCCAGAGTGGACAATCCGAGCGGTCATTCGCGTTTTTACTTGAAAGTGGCAGCACTTCGTGCATCGGTCACTATGATCGGTCACCTATCATGTAAAATGCACCTTTTCATATTATTTAAACATAAATATGTGTCCCCGTTGTCTAGAAAGTCTCACGTAGTTTTTTGGAAAAACAACCCTCCCTGTTTTTTGCCTGCTCAAGTTTTCTAAAAAAACAGCTTTCTAACGAGCGAATTAAGATTTGGACTCCCATCTATTGTCACAATCAGAAACTGTATTCGTTCCACAGAGGGGTTATTTACATTTTTACAGCCAAAGTGAAGATGGAGACAAACAAAAGTTATGCACGGACTCTATTAGAAAAGGCATGTACATAATATTTAAAATATTATTCGTTTTTAAAGTAACATTCGTAATACATTTCCAATTTTCACAGTGTAACTGCAACAAAAAGTGACGATTTTCCTTTTAAATTAATATTATTTTATTATGTAGACCTCAGGCTGTTAGAAATGCATTTTGATTACTTCTAATAAATTAACTGCAAACAGATAATGTACAAGCCCAACACGAAATATGTCATGGATAGGTTCAAGTAGATTACATATATTTTCATTGCATAGAGATGGGGGGAAAAAACATTTTCAAGAAAATGCTTTGTCCCTTTCTTTACAATATATTATACTCACTATACTAATAATGAATACACTGCAAAAATAGTTGCTTCCCTGTAATTATTTTTCATTTGACTGAAGACTTGTTTCCTTACCTCGGTTATCACAAAAATGGATATGCCACCAACTAAGGCTGAAGAATGGGTCAATACCAACTGTCCGTGAAACGTCCAATCTGGGTACTTATGTACCATTTTGGAGTACTTGTACTTTAATACTTTTATAGTATTTACATGTTATGCTAATTTAAACTTCTAGTTCACTTCATTTTAGAAGCCAATATTGTACTTTTTTCTCTATTGCATTTATTACATTAATAATACTACATATAAACTATGCTATATATCCATAGGTGAAAAAACCCAACACGTATATGAAGTATTTCAATTATCTTCATCTTTACCAGCTGTGATGAACACATTAATGCATTAATAATAATATTTCAGTCATTTAATATTTATTGATACTTGTACTCTTGGTACTTTACATTACTTAAGGTATATTTTGATGCCAGTACTTTCGTTATTTTACTTAAGTGAGATATTGTATGCAGGACTTGTACTTGTAGTAGGCTACTTGTAGTAAAACTAAAAGTATAGTGAAATATCTGTTAACTTCTTCCACCTCCGCTGTCAGTTACAATCTGCAACCTGGCCATTAGATGTCACTAACTCCCACACCGCCTGCTCCTTTGGCCGGTTCACATTGTTGTTTTTTTGTATCTTCATAAAGTATACTCAAACACATTTAGGAGTTGTCTTGTTTTTACAGTTGTTACCCCCCGTAGCCGACTAAGTTAGCTTGTTAGCTCATTGAGTTGACAGCAGCATCCTGTATGTTAGTATCTGCTTGAATACATAACCTCATAAGTGGGTGGGTGTTTGGAAGCGCGGCGTCTGCAGCATAATTAAAACATGGCGGATTCAGAGGAATTTAGACTTAAACGATTAAAGGTAAGAAATAAAAACATGGAGCATATGTATAGCAACACATAGGCGGCGAGCTAAATTCAACAGTCGATAAAGCTACATAATACGACACTTAGTTATCAGCTTCCGGTCAAGATGTGCACATTTAAGCTAACGTTAGCAAGCTAGCTTTCCACCCTGTGGCTTGCTGCTGTTCTGCACTGATGCATGCCCCCACGCCAAACTCTGTCTAACAGCCTGTTTATATCAGCAAACAATAAAACAAAAATAATATGATGCAGGTTTTTTGTCAACCCAAAGAGCTTTTATTATTCCAGCCCTGCAGATGTGTTTTGTAGTGGACGGCTGCTTCCAAAAGCCCCTGCATCGAGGAAGGATGCTGCAAACAAGTGGACATTTTACTAAATTAACATGTTGCCATGAGAATCCCTTGCGTTGCATGTTATTATGACCCGGAAGACTCCAGCAACCAATACAATGTGTGACTGGATTGTGTGGTGTCTGTGTGTGTGTCAGTATAATAATACAAATATGCCCGCACGCCTCAAATCGCCACATTTTAAATGGGCTTTGGTGGGACGCCCCCTCCACACAACTGATAGGACAACATGAGGCCTGCAGCCATTACAATTGAAAATAGAGAGACATTTAGGGCATAAAGGTTAGTCAGAAAGTTCACAATTTTAACCCAAACTGTAAGACAGGCAAGACTCTATGGGATCCTTCTGGGCAAGTCAATGTGATAACAACAGAAGCACACGTGTATTAAACATCTGCATTGCATTGGCTGCATTGCTCACCTGCAGGACCCTGATTGTGTGCATGCTGTCTCAATGACATGGTTTTTAAATAGAGAAGAGCCAGAATGATGATCACCCACCTTAGCTTTTCCTGCTCTTTCATTGCTTATTAGATATATATCTAACATATATATATATATATCTATATATATATATATATAACATATATATATATATAATATATATATATATATATATATATATATATATATAACATATATATATATATATATAACATATATAACTATATTTATATGTTATATATATATATATATACATCACTACTTTCTTTAGAACAATTATGTGTTCATAATCAATCAATCAACAACTATATATATATATATATATATATATCTATATCTATATATATATATATAACTATATATATATATATATATATATATGTTTATATGTTATATATATATATACATCACTACTTTCTTTAGAACAATTATGTGTTCATAATCAATCAATCAATCAACAACTATATATATATATATATATAACATATAAACATATATATATATATATATATATATATATATATATATATATATATAACATATATAATATATATATATATATGTTTATATGTTTTATATATATATAGTTATAGTTGTTGATTGATTGATTATGAACACATAATTGTTCTAAAGAAAGTAGTGATGTACAAATGACCCTCCTGTGTGCAGCTTGGGTCAGGTTTGTGATGAAGGGTTAAACCCTGTTGCATTGTTGTCTGAGATCAAATTAGCTGCAGGGTTGTTAGGGCATTTTATGGTTCATTCAGTTGAGAAATGGAGTAGGAATATGATAGTGGCCTACAGCATGAATATAAGAGAAAAATAAAGAGTGCACCTTTTTAAGAAAGAAACTGGAACCAGAACCTGATTAGGTGTCTAAATTCTTCAAATTATTTTAAATAAAGAATTGTGAATGTTTTGTGAACATTTAAGGGTTAAGTTATGTCTATATATATATATATATATAGTATTTAAAGTGAGGGTAAAAGTTCCACAGTAATGAAAATTGTGTTCCATTTGCCATTATGAGGTTTTAAGCAGTCAGGAGGTTTTACAGTGAAGTATGAATGAACTTGAATTTCCCTCGTTTTTAAATCCTAACTTATCTCTCCCCCACAGCATGAAGAGCGGCTGTCCCGAGTGTTTGACGAAGTGATGGGGCTTGGACACTTTGCTGACTCCTCCGGGGGCTCTGCCACCTCCTCCAGGAGTGAAGGTCAGGACGAGACAAAGGGAGTGGACACAACTTCAGCACAAGTGGAACAGCAACCGGTTGAAGAGGAGGATAGCAACGGCAGCAGACAAGAAGAAAAGATGGAAGAGGGGGCGGAAGAGTCTTCCTTACCGTGCATTACCTCCCCTTCCTCCGTCCCAGGCTCATCGTTTACAATGGGAACCAAAGAAGTCGGAGGTGGCGGAGGAAGTGGAGGGGCAGCGTTTGATGACGCACAGGATGGACTCCCTGCGTTTGGGCCAGGAGAAGAAGAAGAAGACTGGCACTTTGCCCTGCCGTCGGACAGCCTGGGAGATGTTAATGTGGTAAAGGATAAAAAAAAAATGGCACCAGAAGTGGAGATCAACGCCACACAACGCAAACCCTTCCCTCCTCAGCCCAGAGAGGTGGAGGACGTAAGCACAGAGTCTGCTAACACCTCCCACTCCTCCCAGGACCACACACCTGAAAACAGCCACGGTAAAGCCACACGCACATGAGAAGTTTCTGCACATGCAATCGCGCTACAACGGCCCAAAAAACGTCCATTAGTAGAAATGGGCTGCAGCTTCCAAAACTATGCAAATATAAAAACACAAATGAGTCGTAACGCATGCAAATGAAGAAACATCTTCACCAACTTGACACACTGCTGATTTGTCAGGATGTTTTTTGAGCTGTCATTAAAAAAGACACACTGCCATTTTTAACATCAAGTTGGTCAAAAAGAGTACTATTTTTATAAAAAAATATATAGTGTCCTTTGTAAGTCACGAAGTAGCTTTCCGGAAGTCTGGGAAAATAACCTTGATGATGTCATTGAGACGTAACGTTATTAGGGTTGTTATTGCTTTAAAATAAATGGGCATCTATTGAAAGACAGCATTGAGTTGCATTAGTGGAATGGGAATTGTAAGAATTATTAATTTGGTAGCTTGTCATATACTTGATCTAAAAGTCCAAATGTCTTGACCTCTTCTTTGACTGTCCTCTTTTTAAAATGTGTTCCTTGTAAGTCTGTTTATTTTATTAAAGTGTAATTCAAAATGGCTGCACCAAATGTGGCTAGCCGTCACACATCCTTTGTCAGCAGCCAAAATCGTATAGAACTACAGAGGGAGCTTTGACATGCTCTTCTGCATAATAATAGCTTTTAGTGAGATTTTCCTTAGAATTTGACAGTGTGTTCATTATCCATTATTTCCTAACTTCTTTGGTGGTATCTTTTCTGCCTTTCTGTCAGACGGGGGCATCCAGGACCAGGCGGAGGAGACAGAAGATAGCCAGGAGGGAGAGGTAGGAATCGTGGTCATATAATCCCTTAACATCTTTAAAAACGTATCGAGATAATGATGAAAACTCTTTATATTTCAGAGGACAGAGGTAGCTCCGATGGAGGACAGTAGTCCCCCTCCTATCAATATTAAAGATGAACCCATCGATGAGGGCTACGACGCTGCGCTGCTGCCTCAGAGCTCCATCAGACAGATCAAAGAGGAGCTGGAGCATCAGGAGGTCAGTTTGGGGAGAGTTGTGTAGATTTGTAATTCTCTTATTGATAAAACGAACAAGATTTAACTGCAAAACAATAACATAGTTGTCTAAAAGCTGCTGAAAGCCCATGCTTTCTGGTGATTGTGAATAATTATAATAATACAATGTTTCCTAGCAAAACAGAAACTAGACATTTTATCTATTAATCGCTGATGTTGTTTATTAACATGACTTACAACAGTACTACATGAGAGGGAATCATTAACCATTTATAAACAATCTGATCTCCTAATGTGTGCTCCTTTTAGGAAGAGCTGAGGATCAGCTCCGTCTACTCTGTAGGTGGAGGAAACACCTTTTCGCCTACCGGTGAGTTCGTTCATGTGTTCATTAAAGGCCCGGACACACCAAGCCGATTTTGGCCGTCGATGGTCGTCGACACGCCCTACTCAGATTGGTGTGTCCCGCACCGTCGTGTCTTTTCAGCCGTGCCGACACCTTTTCGGGCGAAAACGCACCGATTCGACATGTTGAAAGCCCCATGAGCTTCTCGTTGTAGAGTGAAAATGGAACGCACACGCTATTTGTTGTTTGTTTATATCACGCAGTCTGTTCTTCTTCTCTCGGTTATCACGCAGTCTGTCTTCCAGTTGTTGCCTCTTTTGAATGACGAATACACACTACCGCCACCTGCTGGTTATTGCCACTCACGCATGCGCAGTTCGTACGTGCTTCTTGGCCGTCGGCTGAAGTCTTTGCGGTGTGTTCCAGTGCGACACATGGCCAAGACGCAGAGACGCGAGGCGACACAACAGTCAGGGGTCCGTCTGTGTCAGTTCTTTTGTGTCAGCTTGGTGTGTCTGGGCCTTAACACTAGAACCGCCAAGGGGGTACATTTTACCCCTGAGCATTTTCAAATGCATGTCACTCTGTTAAAATACAACCCCTACATCTCTTATTTCATGACTTTTCCTAAAATTGTTTTATTTATAATCTGGTGAATTGTGGGGTGTGTGGGATAAAAGAAAAAGAAAATATAAGCATTAATACCTAGAACTGCGGAAGGGGGTACATTTTTACCCCTGATGAACATATGTCGCGAGCCGTTGTGATTGACAGCTGTCCGCGAGCTGATGGACGTTCACGCCACTGGTCCGGTTGCTTAGTAACGCCCATTGTAGAGAAATGTTGATAAAGAAATGTCATATCACCAGCGAAATACACCATAGGTTAGTGATTCAGATAGAAAACATGGACCCTAACAGAAGAATGAATGTGGAAGAAGCCCTAGCAATGCTCCAGGCGATGAGCGAGGCCGAATCCGAAGGGGGAGAGAAAACCGATGGAGAATCTGATGAGGGAGAGGTCAAAGATCCGTCATTTTCAACGGAGGAGGAATCCTCATCTGAGGATTGGGAGCCGACACCCCGAAAAAGGCCCAGGGTTCTGGTGGCAGGTAGACTATAGTCCCACATCTTCGAACACCCACACCTGAAACTCAAATATATATCAGTCCTACATATTCTCAAGTGGCAAATTATCACAACCTAATTACCTCCTCTTAGCGAGACCACCCACTCCTCTACCCATGTTATCGCATCAGCCTGCTGACGCTGTGACAGATAAACCAGGTAAGCCTGTACAGTCTTTAAAAACATAAATTTGACCAATCCATTTTAACAAACTAATTATACATATTTATATTGTTTAGTGTCGGCCCATCATGATTCGCATGAGACTGGCAAGGATGGAACTCTCTGGATACCAGAGAATCCTGGACTGCGCACTGGGAGAGTGAAGTCTAACAATGTGTTGACAGAAGGAGCCGGCCCAACCGCACATGCGCGCCGCAACATAGACGACCCTCTGAGCGCATTTATGTGTCTGATGGACCCTGTGATGCTGAAGCACATCTGTGACTGCACGGTGGCAGAGGCGCACCGGTGTGGAGAGGAAGGATGGAAGTTGAGCTTTGCTGAGCTGAAGGCGTTCATTGCACTTCTTTTAGCGCGGGGCGTGCACAACGGGAGAATTGTGGAAGACTTGTGGTCTCAAGAATGGGGTCTTCCCTTCTTTAGCACAACTATGGCAAGGCACCGATACAGAGACATAATGCGCTTCCTGCGTTTTGATAAGAAAGACACCAGGCGCAGTCGTCTTGGAAATGACAAGTTTGCCCTTGTGAGTGAGGTGTGGGACAGGCTTGTCCAAAACAGCATCGCGTGCTATAAACCAGGGTCCGAAATAACTGCAGGTGAGCAGTTGCTCCCCACAAAGACAGGGTGCCCCTTTACTCAGTATATGCCCAACAAACCAGACAAATTTGGTATTAAGTTCTGGCTCGCTGTTGATGTGGAGTCAAAATACATGTTAAATGGCTTTCCCTATCTCGGGAAGGATCCGTCCCCTTCTGCAACCCAGAGCCAGGGGGAGAGTGTTGTCCTGGAGCTGATGGAGCCGTTTTTGGGGAATGGGAGGAATGTGACGACTGAACACTTTTTCACCTCACTCCCCCTGGCCCACAAACTCCTGGCAAAAAATACAAGCTTGGTGGGCACCACTAATAAAAATAACAAATCACTGCCTCCTTCTGCACACCAACGAGCAGCACTGTTCACCACCAAAGTGATGAAAAGTGACCAAGCAACGCTCACCATCTACCAGGAGAAAAGGAAGAAGAACGTGTGCATCCTCAGCACAATGCACAGATCAGTGGAGATTTGCGATGACACGAAAAAAAAGCCAGAGACAGTCAACTATTATAACAGAACGAAGGTGGGAGTTGACATGCTGGACAAAATGCTGAGACAGTACTCTGCTCGAGCCACAACCAGAAGATGGCCAGTCGCTGTTTTCTATAACATACTGGACATTGCAGCAATGAACGCGTGCGTCCTGTACCGGGGCTGCACCGGTTCAAACCCGTCCCGGCCAGTGTTTATCCTGGAGCTGTGTAAGCTGCTGCGCAAAGAGCACATCAGTAAGCCCAAAGTAGGCATCTTGCCATCATTCCCCGAAAAGAGAAGGAATTGCGGTGTAAAGCGCAACTGCAGAGAGAACAAAACCACCAAAACATGCATGGTGTGCCAACGTGGTGTGTGTGGACAGTGCAAGGGAATAGTGAACGTCGTGTGTGCCGATTGTGTGTGTGGCTACAGCACAATCACATTTAGTTGAGAAAATGCCTGTCAGTGGTGGTATCATTCCTTAATTGTGTCACTAATCATCTCATTTGAATAACCGACTATAACGTTTGTGTCGTTTCTGTTGCAGTTTACATAAAAATGTCAAATGGGCTGCCTGTAAAATGTCTTGAGGGACAGCACCCTGCTTACTCAAAACACGTTATTTTCCAAAATGCATTTCAATGTTAATAAATGTTTTTTAAATTAAAATGTAATTGTTTATAAAATGTTAATATGTGGTATTTCCTTTTTGTTTGACCGTTGTAATATTTTGAGTAACTTCCAAATGAATTTTAAAATGCGTCGATCTGCACTGAGATAAAGCAATTGTAAAATGATTAACACCCAATAAACTAAAGTTTGAACAATTATTTTGTCAAGTCTTACTTATTTAAAACATAGATGAACATGAACAACCTAACAGCATAAAGAAATATCATTTTTGCGAGTACTGACGCTGTTGCATCTGGGGGTAAAATTGATTGTTCTTGTGTCTAGTGTCAGAGGTATCTGTTCTTTGATACTTTCTTGAGACCAGCTGCTAAAAAAAACAATCTAGAAACAAATAATCCATGGATGTGTTTTTAGAAGTAAAACTCATCAAAATATATTTTTACTTTAGTGTTGCACGATTCTGAAAAATTATAATTATTTTTGGCTGATATTAAAATATGATTTGCAATATTAAAGGGATATTTGCAACATTATAATAACATAATAACATACCATTACATTTTATTATGGTTTTAATATTATAATTTTATTCTGTCTAGAACTTTTTTCTATGCCAGGACTTCTTTGCAGTGCTACAATACTTTAATTATAAATTATGTTTTCACATATTTAAATGAAAAAAATTGATCTTACTCAGATTTGGATATTGCACTAGTCAAAATTGCAATTTTGATAATATTTAGATGAATTCTGCAGCCCAATTTTCGTTTTCTTAACCAACCTTTCCCCTTTCATCCCCTCAGTGCCGTTAGCAATCCCAGCCCCCCCTCAGACAACCTATTTTATCCAAGGTAGAGGGACCCTGCTACAAGCCATGGCCCAGATCCCGCTCAGATCCCCTGCTTCAGTCCCAACCTCCCTCCCATCCCTAATTTCTGTCCCCCCACGCCAACCTCCGCCCTCTGTTCCCGGCAGCGTTCGCTGCAGCGGCTGCTCTAAGGTACAGTTGTTCACATATTTATACGTTAATTAAAACACTCATGTTTTATGCATCTCTATTATCATACAATATTGACAGAGATGTATTTGCTACATTGATCAACCATATAAATGAAACAGTGGTGTAAAGTAACTAAGTACATTTACTCAAGTGACATTAGGGACTTGTACTTTACATGTGTTGCTATTTTGTACTTCTACCCCACTACAATTCAGAGGCAAATCGTGTACTTTAGCTCCACAACATTTATTTTGTACCTTTAGTTACTTTGCAAATTTGGATAAATGATGTGAAATATAATCAAGACTTTAGTTCCACCTGGAGTAAATCACAAGCTGCCCTGCAGTATACAAAGTAATTCAAACTAGCTGCACCTTTACCAGCTTTGATAACACTTTAATGATCAATCATTATAAAACATATCATATATATTATTCTGAAATGGACCAATCTGCACAATGACTACTTTTACTCTAGGTACGTAGATTTTGATGTGAAGACTTTTCTTTTGTAACATTTGTACACTTGTAACAAAGTACTCCCACCTCTGAAATGAAATGATCATGTTTAATGTGTCGGGGCTTTGGGCAGTGATGTAGGCTTTTATTCTTGTAAGTTTATGGCTGTGTCAATGGTTGCAGGTTCTGCTGAAAGGTCAAACAGCGTTTCAGAGGAAAGGCTCCACGCAGCTCTTCTGCTCCACAGTGTGTCTGACGGGCCACCTGCCTCCAGCCAACAAGAACCGAGTGTGCTTCCAGTGCAACAGGTTGGTACACCTTTGTTTTCAGTATGAACTGAAATCAGGGTTCTATACAGGCAAGAGTATCCTTAAGCTGTATCTCCTCTCTTTACCTGTAGCTTGTCCTGAAAAAATAATAATATGGCTTTCCGGTGCTCAATCCCCCCTCCATCTGTCTACCATTAAATACCCAATTTACCTGATGCCTTCAAATAAAATCATAAATAACTAATTAAATGTACTTGAATAATTACACAGAAAAAGTATCAAGTTACTTTATACATAAAAGCAAGTAATACAAGTTTGTTAACAAACATACAACCATTAAGTATGTTTATTAAAAGACGATCTCCAAACAGCCCTTATAAACTCACCGGCCACTTTATTAGTTACAACTCGCTAGTACCATACAACAATATTCAGGCTGGCCACAGCCTGAATATTAAAGATTTAAAGTTTAAAGATCTCCTATCATGCTGTTTTTAGGCATATATTATGGGTCTCAGATATATAAAAAAATATAAAAAACATGTCTATGATGTGTTTTGCTCAAAATACCAAACAGATCATGCATTTTAGACATCCTCATATCCCTCTCTTTCAGCCCTGTTAGAGAAACGCTGATTCGGGGTCCTTAGCTTGAAAAAAAAAAAAAAGAGGGGGAGCTTGTGCCTGCTCAGAATTCTGCCACAGATACAGCTAAATGCTCCCGTGATTAAACTCCATATCATGTTCTAAACCACATCAAGGATTATCTCTGAAACAGTATGGAGCTCAAATGCTTTTTCTCTTGCGGGTTTACCACAAGGTGAGTTCCTTTTTTTATTTCCTGCTTTTTAACACATGTGCTCTCCAGTACAGGTTAGCTCTGAGTGTTAGCAATGCTTGCTAATGTAAACAAAGACCACATTACATCCAAAACAGTCGAGCATCGTTTCTGATAGGGCCGTGGGTCCACATTTAAAAAAATTACGTCATATCGGACGCAAGTCTGTATCAGCTCCGTTGTACCCCCGTTTTTCTAGATTTGGGTACGGAGGAAAAGAGAGAGGGTTTTGTTTTCTGACACAATTTGAGAGTTCCCTAACACACCGGGGACACATATTTATGTATAAAAGACATCAAAAAGTGCATTTCGCATGATGGGTCCCCTTTTAAACAATGCTCAATTGGTACTAAGAAAATATTTATAATTCAATACTGACTTCTTAAGCTAAGTCCATGCATTTATATTGGTGCCACTGTTACCTTGACATATATCTGCTAAAAACAGCATCCATCAACCTCATAATTTCTCTTTTTGTACCTTTTACCACATCTCCTATTCCTTACCTGAGTCTTTTGAACACTGTATTAATTCCTCGTGCTTTTCTCTCTGCAGGGAGATCCTTCAGCCCAGGGACATGGTCACAATCCCCGGAGACAACAACACCCTCCTCAACTTCTGTGGCCAGTTCTGTCTGGCTGTCTTTAAAAACAAGAAGAAACAAGTCGATAAGGTTCCTGAAAAACAACTGGAGAAGAAACCTGAGAGGCCACCTGAGAAACCAGCAGAGCCCCCCTCTGATATACCCTTCTGTGCTGTCTGCAAGATCTCCAACAAGGTATGAGACAGATTTGAAAAGAAAGACAGATTTTCAATGTTTGTTGCGTCTTCACTCTACAGTCTGATTGTCTTTCTGTTCCCTGTGTTTGTTATCTTCTCTGCAGCAGATTGAGCATGAGGTCACCCATCATGGTACTCTGTACAGACTCTGTAGTGACAGTTGTTTTGTAACCTGGCGCAAGTCGCGGAAGTTAGCCATGAACTGCTGTGAAGGCTGTGGACTTTACTGTAGCAGCAGCTCGGGCTCCTGTCAGACGCTCACTGTTGACAGATCACAGCTCAACTTCTGCGGCCCTACCTGTATCGGCACCTACAAACAGGTAGGCGTTTGCATAAATTATGTTTTTTTATAACCTTGTTTGGAGCCTTTTGAAGTAATGATGGTTTGGCATGTAGGATAAACGTATGGCTATACATATTGGCTTATTAGTTAGGGTTGACCCAACAGCTTCTGATTATTTCAGCCGATATTCTGTTAAAATATGCAATGAAGATATAGGTTTAAGAAACAGTTGAAGATTGATATGTACGTGATTCTTTATTCAGTAAACTCACTTTTCATGTGGTATTCCTGATAATGCTGCAATATGGACCAGAAATCCGTGTCAAAATCTGCAGCTGGTAATGTTAGCCGTTAGCATTCGTTGGGCAGCACAGTCCTGCCTGGCTAAAAAAAAACGAGCTTTGAGCTAATATTGAGTAACAATATGATGCGTTCAAGCTCAATTCAGTAAACATTTTGGAGAAAGAAATCTTGTAAAAATGTGTATGTTAGTAAGAAAGTACAGTTGTTTCACAGCAGTATAAACTAGATAGTAGAATATATTATGAACTGTGTAACTACATTACTTGCTCTTAGCAGCTTATAATACATACATCTAACTTTTTTTAACCAAAGCAAATATTCAAATGAAAAAAAAAACATTTCGTATCATTTGAATAGTTTTTTTTACGCAAATAACTATAGATGACACTGACAAAAATGGCATGTACCATATTACTATATACATGACTGTTTATAAAAAGTACAGTATAGTGGAGTGCTGAAAAAAAGTTTGCAACCATAACCATGTATACCAGCTTATATAAAAATAACAATAAGAAAATGATTTGTAAATCAGCAAAACAGCGTCATCCGGAAAAAAACATGATTGGTGCATCTCTCATTTAAGTGGCACCGAATGCTAATAAGAGTTTGACTACCCAAATATCATGTAACATTCGGAAATCACAGAGCAATGTCATGTTTATTAAGCTAATGTACCAGATTTAAACCTGTAATTATGATACACACAGACCTGCAAAAAGACGGTGGAGTGTGTCTACTGTCACAAAATCGCGATGGTGTCCTCCACCATCATGGAAAGAGACCAAAAGGGCAAAGTCCAGCTTTACTGTTCGTCTTCATGTGTTGAGCTGAGTCGACCCCCCCAACACATTCTCACTGGTAGGACACAGACACACAACCACATTTATTAAAGGGGCCCTATCATGCTTTTGGGGTTTTCCCTTTCCTGTCGGGTGTTGTATACGTTTTTGTGCAGGTCTGCATGGCTCAAATCCCTGTGTTCCCTCCAGAGGGAGTTTGTCTCCCACACATAGTAACATCATTATGTAACACTTGCGCTTCTAGTGGCTTAGGGCTCCAACACACTGTACATGATGGGCTAAAGGGCGGGACATCTCTAAGCAGTTGACTAATCACAACAGCTAACCAATCAGAGCAGACTGGGCTCTGGTTTCAGACAGAGAGTGAAAAGAGGTGGTGCAGCACAGGCAGTATGAGAAAAATAAAGAGCTTTTTGAACATTAAAGCATGGAGACATGTCACAGTAGAGACACAACATACAAATATGAACCTGAACATGAGCATAATAGGGCCTCTTTAAATGTATAACAGGTGGCTCATTACTTTTCTTTAATGAATAGGGTTTAATCTTATTTTACAGTGTGTAGCTTCAAGCACCTCCAAAGCATGGAAAAGGGAAAGCATGTTTCATTATTAGTTAAAACACATACTACATAGCATTTTTTAATTACATTTTTTATGTTATCTTTTTCCCTTAGGTGCTGCGTTCCCCTGCTGCGAGTGCAAAGTGTCGGCTGTTCCTCAGTACCACCTGGCCATGGTGGACGGGACCATCCGCAACTTCTGCTCCTACGACTGCGTTTCTATCTATAGGGTAAGAACAGTTTTGTTTCTAATCATGGAGCATGTGTTGGTTTTGTAGATTTGACATTGGTGTAATTTTCCCCTCCATGTCTCCACAGAAGTCCGGTAACACCTCTCAGCCAGACCTGACCAATGGAACCCCCGCTCTCAGGGACCCCAAAGCAGGACCCTCTGCCGGGGCCAGCTCAGTCCCTCCCCTCCCTCAGGACCACCCGTCTTCTGTAGCCTTCCCGGGCCACCATCCCAGTCATACCTCAGTGCCCCCGCTCGAGCCTCCCTCCCAGGCCCCCGCCAAAACGCCTGCTGTTCAGCCTATGAAACCAGCAGAAGGGGGGCCCAAGGACATATCCAAGCTGACCTGCCATCAGTGCAGCAAAGAGTTCAGCACAAAGCCGCTGCTGTTCAGTCACCAGGTAAGGAGCCCAGATCACATATTATGACTGCTGCTGAATTGTCCAAAAAACAGATCCTATGTCTTTTCCTGACAATTTCTCTTTAACCTTCGGGAAAATCGTCAAGGGTTTGAAGCAAAATGTGAAGGAGAAATTATTAGGACTGAGGTAGAGTCAATGTGCCTCAGTGAAAACCTCTAAAATTCAGTAGATGAACAACTAAAAGTGCATCTTGATACTTTTTTGTTTGATGTGTGCTTTATAAACTTTGACAACAGTGAGAAATATATCAACTCATTACCAGGGTTTGAATTCAAATTAAAGAAATGAAAGGGAAACAAAATGGTTGCTCGCGCTCAACTTCCTGTCAACTCATTTGAATCAACATGAATCCCATTAGTATGTAGATATTTGAATAATGCAAAATGTACGCATTATGCATAGCCTGTACGGCAGGGGTCGGCAAATAACTTTTGACAGTCTCTTCTCTGTCATTGTAGACCGAATGCTTCTCGTTTTGCGCCGTCCCGTTCAAATGACAATCACATTTCCTCGCTCGCGCCAGGGCCGGGGGATAGGGTTACAAGGCTCGCGTCTTGTGCTGCATTCACTTGCACTCGCACATTAGGGATTTTCTCGCATAAATGTCCGATGAGCCACAACTTTTCTTTCAAAACAAAGCTGCCAACTGGGGTGGCAGCATATGCACCACCACTCCTCGCCCTCCACGATCAAGCGGCTTCTCCGATTTTGTTGTCAATGTTTTGACTGAACTTTATTACTATTCACATAAGTAAACATTACATTTGAATGATTTAGTGAGCTGGTGTTATTTTTTTCAAACCACAAGCCGCATGTTGGCTATTTCAGCACCACGCGCTGTCCACCTACTTATTGATCCACTATCAGCGTCAGTGCACCCCGCGGCCAGATTATGTGCTGTGTGTCATTCACTCTCAACATGGATACAAGTACAATAAGCATTCTTCAGGTGTAGGTAGATTCTCTATTCGGACATTATAGCCTATATGTGCGACCGTCGGTCCGATATTGTAAAACATTTTTTATCTCAAAAAAATATTTTATTTTTATTCTCAAAATACTTTTCCGGGCCAAATATTATTGCTGGCGGGCCACTAATGGCCCGCGGGTCGCCTATTGCCGACCCATGCTGTACGGCCTTCACATGTGCTACTGCGCATATCAACATTCAAGCATGTTAAATACAAAAATAATTAGCTTAAAGGTCCCATGTCATGCTTTTCCGGTTATTACCCGTCCCCTTGTGTGTTATGTAGCTTTTTATGCATGTAAACGGTCTGCAAAGTCACCCACCCTCAAAGTACACCCTGTAGCGAGTAAAACTCTAATACAGAAAAGACCTGTCTATGCTGCCCCAGAACTTCTCGTTGGAGATTTAGGAGATTTCTCTTTTACTTCCTGGGTACAGTGACGTGCCCATACCCAAATGGACCCATTGGTCCAATCCGTGGAGCTCCTCACACACACACACACACTCTCAGCGGCGAAACTGTGACGGGGGGGGGTGCTAGTGGAGCCTCGCAGCTGCGTTGCGTTAAATTAGGGCCGCAAGAAATTGTGGGAAAGCATAATATTCTTTATTTTCGTAAAGGATGGCTCAGTGTATCCTAAAATAAAGGAGATTATAAAGGAAGCATTGGAGCTCCTTCCTTTCATCTAGATAATTCAAACCGCTCTTATCATGGCTGACACATCCGTGTCCTTCCCAAGCAAATAAGAATATTCAACTGCAACATATTAAGTCTGAAAATGTACCCTTTTCCCAACCTGAATGACGAGTGTGCCTCTCATGATGATAATATGAATTGCTTCCTGCAGGCCAGTATTTCTATGTTCTGCAGTGAGATGTGCTGTGACCAATATATAAGCCAGAAGAATATCCTGATGCCGTGCGAGATCTGCAAACGTGAGAAACGGCTCCATGACACCCTCTGCTACAACCAACAGGACCTGTTTTTCTGCAGTGCCGGTGAGTCAATGTTTAAAAGTATTCCTCGGGAAGGCTTGTAACCTTAAAGCTGCTTTTTAATTTTAAGTTAAATAATATCCTCAGTTCATATGAGAAAACCTCTTGGGAATAAAAAATTATCCTTTTCAGTACTGATTTTAATTTATAGAATAGCCAATTTTCAGGTTTCATATTTGTATGTCGTGCCTCTACTGTGACATGTCTCCATGCTTTAAAGGGGACCTATCATGCAAAATGCCCTTTTTTATGTCTTTTCTACATAAATATGTGTCCCCGGTGTGTCAGGGAACTCACGCAGCGTCAGAAAATAAAACCCTCTCTCTTTTCCTCCTTACCCAAATCTCTAAAAACAGAGGTACAACGGAGCTGATCCAGATTTGCGTCCGATATGACGTAATATCGGAAATGTGGACCCACGGCCCTATCAGAAATGTTGCTATCAGAAACAATGCCTGACTGTTTTGGACATAATATAGTCTTTGTTTGCATTAGCAAGCATCGCTAACACTCAGAGCTAACCTGTACTGGGTGGGACTTTCGGCAACAGTTCTAAATTGGTTTGAATCCTACTTAAAGGACAGAAAAAACTTTGTTTCTATAGGTAAATACACATCTGAGTTGACAAATATGACATGTGGGGTTCCTCAAGGCTCCATCCTGGGGCCTCTACTCTTTAACATCTACATGCTACCACTGGCTCAGATAATAAAAAAACAACAAAATAAGTTACCATAGCAAAGCGGATGACACACAAATGTATGTATCACCAGGAGACTATGCTCCAATTCAAACACTGAGTAAGTGCATTGAACAAATCAATGACTGGATGTGTCAGAACTTTCTCCAATTAAACAAAGATAAAACTGAGGTAATGGTTTTTGGAGCCAAGGCAGAACGTATAAAAGTTAGCGCTGAGCTTCAGTCTGCAATGTTCAAAACAACAGATAAAGCCAGAAATCTAGGTGTAGTCATGGACTCTGACCTGAGTTTCAACAGTCACATTAAAACAATTACTAAATCAGCCTACTATCACCTTAAGAATATATCGAGGATTAAAAGACTAATGTCACAGCAGGATTTGGAAAAACTTGTCCATGCTTTTATCTTCAGTAGACTTGACTACTGTAATGGTGTCTTTACAGGTCTCACTGAAAAATCTATCAGAAAGCTGCATCTAATTCAGAACGCTGCTGCTCGAGTCCTCACTAACACTAAGAAAGTGGATCACATCACTCCAGTTCTGAAGTCTTTACACTGGCTTCCTGTGTGTCAAAGAATTGATTTCAAAATACTGCTGCTGGTTTATAAAGCTTTGAATGGTTTAGGCCCAAAATACGTTTCTGACCTACTGCTAAAGTATGAACCATCCACAACTCTCAGGTCTTCTGGGACGGGTCTGCTTTCTGTCACCAGAGTCAGAACTAAACATGGAGAAGCAGCCACAGCTCTATTGAGCCTTCTATTCCCATAGCACTCAGTAGTAATGATTTTATGTGCTTTTTTAATGATAAAATTGTTACTCTTAGAAACAAAATTAATGACCTCTTGCCTTTGACCAGTATAGTGTTATCAACAGCTCCCGGAAACGTAAGTTCTAATATTACACTAGATAGTAAATTAGAATGCTTTTCAGCCATAAACCTTGAACAATTGAAATGATTCTTTCTTCTAAACCATCAACGTGTATCTTAGACCCAATTCCAACTAAGCTGTTAAAGGAAGTTTTTCCATTCCATTGGTTAAAGTCACAAATGACCTTCTAATAGCCTCAGACAAAGGACTTGTCTCTATTCTTGTCTTGCTCGATCTCAGTGCTGCATTTGACACTATCGATCATGATATCCTATTGCAAAGACTAGAGCACTTAGTAGGCATAAAGGGAACTGCTTTAGGCTGGTTTAGGTCCTATCTATCTGAACGGTCTCAGTTTGTGTGTGTCAACTATGAATCTTCCATGCAAACCAAAGTTAGCCATGGAGTGCCACAGGGCTCAGTGCTTGGACCTATTTTGTTCACACTATATATGCTTCCGTTAGGCAATATTATAAGGAATCATTCTGTAAATTTCCATTGTTATGCGGATGATACTCAACTATACTTATCCATCAAGCCTGATGAAACCAATCATCTAAATAAAATTCAAGACTGCCTCAAGGACTTAAAAACATGGACGACCTTACATTTTTTGATGTTAAACACGTTATAAACGAAGTTATTGTACTCGGCCCAAAGAATCTACGAAACAAACTATCTAAAGATAGTATATTTGATCAGGATTTATCTTTTAACGCCCACATAAAATCAATCTCAAGGACTGCCTTCTTTCATCTACGTACATTGCAAAATCAGGCATATCTTGCCTCAAAACGATGCAGAGAAACTAATCCATGCATTTGTTACTTCAAGGCTGGATTATTGTAACTCTTTATTATCAGGGTGTACCAAAAAGTCAGTTAAGTCGCTTCAGATAATTCAAAATGCTGCAGCACGTGTACTAACTAGAGTTCGGAAAAGGGACCACATTACTCCTGTTCTGGCTGCCTTACACTGGCTCCCTATAGAACACAGGAAATAATTTTTAATTCTTCTTCTCGCCTACAAAGCCCTTAATGGGCAGGTGCCATCTTACCTTAAATAACTCATTATACCCTACTGTCCAACTAGGGCATTGCGTACCAAGAATGCACGGTTGTTGGTTGTTCCTAGAGTCTCTAAAAGTACAATGGGAGCCAGAGCCTTTTCTTGTCAAGCTCTACTTTTGTGGAATCAGCTTCCAGTTTGTGTTCGGGCGGCAGACAGCCTATCAATTTTTAAGAGTACGCTTAAGACCTTCCTTTTTTATAAAGCTTATAGTTGATAAAATAATCTAATAAGAGTGCATTGACGTAGACACGTTGTGCCTCTTCACCTATACATTTTAGTTCTTACTCTTTTTTCCTTACTGATGGTATGTAATTTGGTTGTGTGTGTAGACGGTGGAAGCAGGGAGAGGCATATACGTGCCTTGATCCCTGCCGAGTCGACGCACAACTGTTGATTGGTGTCAGTGCCAGAAACACTTTTTAGGAGCAATGCGCTCATGGTATAGATGTGGAGCATACATCTTAATTCCTACTCTTTTTCCTAACCCTATCCTAAGGGAGTGCATGTACGTAGACACGTTGTGCCTCTCCACCTCTGTTCCTTACTTCTTACTTGCTACCCCTTTCCCTCAACCTATCCTAAGGGAGTCCATGTACGTAGACACGTTAGTTTACCTGCTATAGGCTTAGACTGTCGGGGGACACCTTACCTCTTCCTTCTGTCTGTCTGTACCTGTGTACTCTCATGTTCCGAATAACCCAGCTTCCCCCAAATTTATTTTTGGTGTCTATCTACGCCGGGATCCTGAGTCGTGGCTGTTCCTGTTGCTGCGATCCTGTGTCCTGGATCCTCTATCCTGAGTCCTGAGTCTATCCGAAGTCCAGGACCTATCCTGAGTTCTGGATCTGAGTCCTGGACTTCGAGTCGTGGCTGAACCTATCACTGTGGTCCTGCCTGACTCTCATCATACTACTTCCCTGATGGCTCCCACAGGATTGTTGACATCCTTGTGGATTCATCTTCTTATTATAGACACATGCATTTCCAAACATTTGGTCTATCTATGCCAGGGATGGGCAAATGGCGGCCCCTCTTTTTGCGGCCCTCAGATTAATTTATAAACAACGTAATTAATAAAAAAAATATAAATATATATATATATTTTTATTTGTTTACTTGTAGTACTGATACCGTCCACTAGACTCCTAGTTACGTCGCGTGCTGCGTACATGATTTCAAATACCGCGAAATAATCTGTGACGCGTTTGTGTGTATTGTGTTTGTTTCCCGGGGAAACACTCACAAGAAACACCGGCTGTTGTTATGCCTGCTGTGACGTTAAGTTGCCGCTTGTAATTATGCCTTTACAAGCTTAAAAGTTGTAGTTATCATCTGAATTTGGCGAAACAAGTTTAACATTTTAAAAACCAAGACTTTGTTTATTTGAAATCAGATAAAAACAAACTGTAACGGACCCTGCCGTGTTATCTATGATTACTATACGCTTTTCATTCATAATTTCAGCGGGAGGGAGGGGGAGCGGCGCTGAGGAACAGCAGAGTGCGGGTTGACAGGTGTCTGTGTTGACATTCCCCTTATTGTGGAATAAGGGGAATGCAGAGACAGGCTACAAGTGTCTTAGGTTCAAGTTAGACAACTAATTTCTGGGTAGTGTTCATGACTTCATGTTTATGTCATCTTAATGGTTAATCTCAATGCACACACATTTTCCGTGCTTTCCAATAGTTTAAAATAGTTGTATTCCACTGTTAAATAACCTGTTCAATACAAACATGCCACTTGTAAAAATTAAATAAAATTTCTGTGAACTGATATTTGTTTAGTGAGCTTATTAGAGGATGTTCCCTGAAAGATTGTAAAATGTCAATGAAGATGTCAGACTTAGTATATTTGTTAATAATTACATACAACACATGGAATTTGTGTGTGTGTGTGTGTGTTCCAAGTGAATCTGCGGCCCCCTGGTGGCCAGTACATCAATTATGTGGCCCCCACCACCATCAAAGTTGCCCATCCCTGACCTATGCTGTAAAATGTATTATCTCTTCGATTTACACACGGCATCTATTGCACGTCTGTCCGTCCTGGGAGAGGGATCCCTCCTCTGTTGCTCTCCCTGAGGTTTCTCCCATTTTCCCCGTTAAACTGTGGGGTTTTTCTCTGGAAGTTTTTCCTTGTACGATGTGAGGGTCTAAGGACAGAGGGTGTCGTATTGTCATACTGATATTCTGTACAAACTGTGAAGTCCACTGAGACAAATGTAACATTTGTGATATTGGGCTATATAAATAAACATTGATTGATTGAGTTTACTCTTTGCAGACCATTAACATATACAAAAACCTATAGAACACACTACAGGAGAGGGTAAAGCCCCAAAAAGCATTATAGGGCCCCTTCATTTTGTGATTTTATTTTATCTTTTAAGTGTGGTGTTTTCTTTATGTATTTCGACATGCACATGTAAAGTCTCTTTGAGTACCAAAATGTATTATTATTATTAACCTGGTGAATCATAATCGCCCTATTTTTGTATTAATGACACTAATAATAGTCACCCTTTCTGTGTTCCAGACTGTAAATCCGTGTTCAAACATGAGCGGATGGCTCTATGCAAGGATTCCTGCAGCTACTGCTCCGGCTTCAGCACCAAGATGCTGCACAGCCACTATGGAGGCCGGATGGAGGAGTTCTGCAGACCCCACTGCATGTCCCAGTACACTGTGCTCTACTATGGGGTAGGCTGTCCTTCAACTGTGCACGGTGTGCCTGTCTGTTTATCCACCGTTTTTTTTTTTTTTTAAATCTTCTTTCCCCTTTCTTTTCTCCCCCTCTGCTCTCCAGATGGGTCGCTGTGACAGCTGCAGGAAACAGGGCTCCATGACGGAGAAGCTGCAATGTTTGGGTTCAGTCCGTAACTTCTGCAACCTGCCCTGCCTGCTGCAGTACTGCCAGCTGCACTTTGAGACCAGCCACAGCAGCAGCAACGGAACAGGAACTGCCCCACAAACTCCATACGGTAAAATCAGTGTGACACATTAAGATGTCGAGCAGCAGTCTGAAATCCAACAAACCTAAAACAGTATTTTTCACAAGATTCAGCTCAAAATGGAGCAGATAAAGCTAGTTTACCATGGGATGTAGGAGAGATTGTTCTGGAGGTGCCTGGTTTAGCTAAGCAACAACCGTGGTTAGAGAACATCAACAAATGAAGTGAAAACCACCATGCTCAATCCGCACCGTTTCCATCATGTTTTGGAGTGCATACAGGGATGATAGAATAGAAGATAAAAAGAAAAGCTGTTATCTCACAAGTTAATAACTTTGGTATGTTCCTCTCTCCTTCCAGCTCCAACACAGCCCCACCATTCCTCAAAGATGAATCCTGTCATCGCGGATGTGGTTTCTCTGGCCAACGGCTCTGCCACTCAGCCCAGTGTGTCAGCAGACACTGCTCTAACTGGTCAGTTATTTTACTTACATATAGTTAGTGCCGTATAGAACAGTTTAAAGCTTTATTTATAGTGTTGACATCAACATTTGAATGCTGTCTATCCATTATGATTAAAGTCACTTTCTGCACAGATTCACATTAGACAATATTATTATTAGTCTTATTTTATTTGTAGGATTACATTGAAGTGGCTGCGTATGATTGTTTCTGACTGATCCAAACATTTCTAATAACGTTCAGAGCGTTTTTAAGTCCAAAAGTGATAATTCATTGAAAAAAGATCAAATAATTTCCAAAAATCCACACTTTTTTAGCGAAGTACTTAAATGATGACGTTATTAACCTCCATTTGCCTGGCGCTTAATGCTAAGTTAAGACATCTTCACTTTCATTACAAATGTAGGGAGCAAGTTTATAAACATTCAAAGTTGATTTAAAAAAATGTAAACTAATTTTATCCAAAACATCCCTTTTTTTCTTCTTTTTTTAAATATATAAGGGTGATGACCTAATAAAATATAACAATGCTAACATTTTAAAGCATTTGGTACAGCTTTATTTAAAGCCACAACACTTGTTATATTTTTATAATATGCATATGTCACAGTGGGGTTTGATGCAGTGCTGATTTATTTATATTTTCTCTTTTGTAGAAACACTTCCAACCACCAACATTGACGGCAAGAATCTAGACCACGTAGGTACCCTGGGTGTGCGTGTCATGGCTAAAAAATGTTACACTATTGATAATAATAATATTAGAACCAAAGTCAGTGCCCACATTTCTTTTTCTGAAAATGTTTGATCTGGTCAGAAATAAAACTATTGTCCCCTGCAGCATGTGACTTATTAAGAACTAGATCATATCTTAATTTAATTTAGCCGTTTTTCAATTTGTAATTTCCAGGCCAGCACTCAGACTGACGCCATGCAAGGGCCTTCGTCCCGTCGCCGTCAAATGAAGAACAAGTCAGTTCTGTGTCGGCCCTTCACTATGGACCAGGAGAGCATGTGCCAGCTGCTCTCCCCCTCTGCTGAGTCAGCAGGTAACTACAGAACACACACACACACACAAGTTTGGGTAGCCCTGTCCCACCTCACTCACACAGGATACAGAACTAACAACTATTTCAATAATCTAATAATCTTCTGATTATTACTTTGGTTGATCAATTATTATCAGATGAAAAGACAAAACGCTACATTTTCTTTCTACAGGGTTTTATTCAGAAACAAAACGTATTCCTTTTCTGCTTGTACTATCCTCTTTCACAACAGTAACTTAATGTACTTTTACCCCAATGGGTAAATGTACACTTAATGTGTAAAATCTGCTTCCTCTGGAGTAACAGGTTAGAACGGACAGAAATGCCTTTTGTCTGTTTTACCTCCTATTTTGTAAAAGATCAATGTAGCTGGCCGTTAAAAAATAGCTTTCTCAGGGGGCCGGCTACATTGATTTATAAAAAACGGGGGGAAAAGACAGAAGGAATTACTCTCTGACTTTGCAATGGTTAGTCTCTCCATACACCATGATTTCAAATACTCACTCCACAGATACATTTAGTCATCACCTGAGCTTAACAGTAGTATCAAAATTCTTATATACTATTTGTTTAAAATACTATTCATGAAGAATTGTTATGATAGCACTCATAGAGGTAGACCCTTTCCTCTGGGCCATGGCTGGTGTGCCTTTTTGTTGGGTGTTTGTCACAACCCTACTCACCATCTAATTCAGTTTCATTCATTCTTTTGGTGCTATCAATCGTTCGATGTTCACAACTAGCTGTTTCGATAGTTGCAGCAGCTCTGCTAGATAGCTCCTCTCAACCCGACCAGACATCTGCGGAAGCTTCCACATCTCCATCACCGTCGCCCAAACCTCAGGGAGAAACTCAGCCGAGCGACGCCGTGCCTGCACGACTAACCGGACGCCATTTCCTGGGCAGAAGGGAGACGGACTCTGACTGCAAGGTCTGCTCCCAACACAAGAGGAAGAGGGTGGAGGAAGAAGAGCAGCAGCAGGAGGAGAAGAAGCAGAAGATGGAGGAGGATGAGGGGACGGAGAGGAAAACAGAAATAGAACCGGAGGAGGGAGTAAAGGATGAGAACAACGGGGAGAACAAAGAGCAGGAACACTCGGAGGTGAAGCTTTGTGAGCAGGAGGGCGGGACTTTGAGGAGGAAGACGTGGTATTTCTGTAAGACGTGTTCAGGGGAGCCCAGCCTCTGTCCTGTCCCCTGTTTTGAACTCTACCACACCAGACTGATCTACAAAACGGCTCCTGGACTGGAAGCACAAGGTGAGCCTTCTGAGTCCCACACCGCATGAATACTTTCTCATGAGAACACCATGAAATAGTTTCCTTTTTAAGTTATCATTTGGACAGCTGTATCTATGATTTTAAGGATTCCAATTTCAAGGGACAGTTCACATCCAACTCACATATTTTCCCTCTTACCTCTAGATCTATTTATTCATCTGTATTGTTTCTGAGTGTCAGAGCTATTGGCCATAGATATGTCTATATAATGAAACTAAACTGCACTCAGGTTGTGGCGCTCAAAGCCCAAAGAAATGTTAATTTGACATACTCAACATAATCGTCTTTTTCCAGACCCTAACCTGCTAGATGTTAAACATTAATGGCGTCCTCCTCTGATTACCGATAACGTTAGCTAGCGGAGAAGATGCACACTTCCTTCTGCGGGGCGATACCATTGATTGGGGTTAATTGGTAGTTCCTTAATCAAACTGCTGTGAAAAAAGTGTGTTGATTGTGTCATGTCTTTTTGAAAGAAAAAAAAAAAACATGTTTTTCAAATGTATATTTTGCCGCTCTTAGCACTGCAAGCCAAGTGACATAAACAGTAGTTCAATCAGGAGAGACGTTGATGTATGGAATACATATTTATTACCGGGACACATAATATGAATGTAATAATGATTGCCACAATTATAACAGGAGAATGAAATGGTGTTTGGCGATTAGGCCCCAGTTTGCAGGATAATCATTCAGGAGGGGGAAGAACCGCTCCGATGAAACCCCCCGGGGTCTAGACACTGGTGGTGGTGATAAGTAGGAGGCAACGGACTGAAGGGAGAAGGTTTAGCTTGGTCCTGAAGGAGACAGGAGGCGAAAGGGGTGGAGGAGGGTTGCGTATTGTCACCTGAAATGACAGCTGGCAGAGGGAAGAGCAGATATAAAGGGATTAGCGGGAGCTATGATAGGCTTGTGAGAATGGAGAGAGGAGAGATTGGTTAGCTGGGGAGTGACGCCCCCGATCACTTAATGAGGAAGGAGAGTGTAATGAGGTGACGTGTAATCTGAATGAAGAGCTTGGTCTTCCTGATTGAACTTACGCTGAGCTTCATTTCCTTTATTTATTTATTTTTTGTTTTAACATATATTTTCTGAGATTTTACATATACAAACAAATACAAAATAAATAAATTAGACCTGTTCAAATGAGTTAGTGATTCATGTATAATATAACATTTCTGAAGTTCCATTATATAGAAAAATCGTAATCTTCATTTAAAAAAAAAATATAGCACTACAGTTAAGAGGAAAAATGTGAATTTAGATTTTTGCCGTGAACTGTCCCTTTCAATGCAATGTCAATCCTAGAAGCAACAATGCTCTGACATCTCTGTGTCTTCTTTCCAAGTCAATTGAACTGACTTCCTAAGAGGGTCGAGTATATCACCCGGGTCTTTCTCTCCACAGCCTCCTGACCTGCTGCCGGAGAAGTCGTCGCCCCCCACCCCACCCCGAGCCCCTCGACAAAGAATAAACCTCTCCAGGATTAACGGGTTCACACCTTCACTCCTTTGCTGTCCTCTACACCCATTGTTGTGCCTGTCTGTTGAAATCCATCCCTGCAAAGACATGTTTTCCAGCATTGACATGAATTTGGCAACATTTTTAAGATAGAGATTGCATTATTTATGAAGTACAGATCATCTTGGCTGCCTGTTTCCTCTTCCAATAAAGGGTATTTATTCTGTGTTTTTATTCTGACTAACACTATGGATGAGAAAACTTCCTCAAGTGCTTCAATGACTTACAACATGTTCTCTTATTAAAGAACATGTTTACCTCAATCTGCCACAATACTTGACCCTGTTATTAAAGCTGATCTTAGAACATGTGTCAAGTGTCTTAAAACCTGTCATTTCTTTATTAAGTGAGTTGTGTATGGTTTGTTAATGGACAGTATTTCCACTCTATTTCTACAAAAACACAAACAAGTATGTTTTTACAGCCACCATTGCACCCCTGATGTGTTTTCACACCCCACTTTACATTAGTCTTTCACGGTCTCACTACAGCAGCAGAGATGCATCATGCAAATTGGTCACTGTAAAGAATTAAGGTCGGATGTTTTTAAGTGGGAGGCAAGATTTCCTTGGGGGGGCTCAATGAATGAAAATGCAAAAATGTATCATTAACCATCCAAAAAAATATCATAAAAAGGCCTAAAAGTGGGTTGTTTGGTTTAATAGTCCCGAGAAACAATATAAGGTTCGGAGGTATTTTCCCATTTTCCAGGAGTCAAACTAATAAATGCCTTACAACAGACTTTTTATTTTTTATTTTTTATAAATACATTTGATGTGAAGTGGTGTCAGATTGCAGTATTGCATTATATAAAGTGTTCAGAGGATCACATAATACAATCATTATCCGAGAGGCGTACAGAAATGTAGCAACACTGGGCAATTTAACCTGCTTTGGGGGGGGGGGGGAAGGCTGTTTCTGAGCTTTTTAGGCCAAATACACTTTCACATTTTGAAATGAGTTCCTAATGTATGTCATGTACAGCAGAGAAAACCCATGCTTAAAATGACACAGAAAATGTGCTAAACAAGGAAACGCAGGTTCATTGAGTTGGATTCAGGCATGAGGCCCAAATCTGAAATCACATGAATATTTTGAAGTGTCTCTGTGAGTGTCATACAGCTGGTTTTGATTTTCAGTTCTCTTATTTGAACTGTTACACTACATATTGACGTTTATTATGAATGTGTGATGTAAGTTAAATTCCTTTCTGTCCCTCATGCAGTAATGGTAACCAAGGTTGACTTCTACTCATCCATCTGTATCTTTAATTAACAATTTTCTTTTTCACACGTTTTTCAACTTTCTGTTATGTTTGTAACTTCTCAAATGTAACAGTGATTTTGTTTTTTGTATTCCTTATTTGCTTTTTATCATTACACTGACATGGATCAGTTTGTGAACGCATTAATTTGCTTCTTTTTTTTTAATAATATTGTCCACGCCTGGAAATGATGGTTTCGATCAAGGCAATTAACTTTTCTACGTTTCAATAAATTGAATTTGTGAGTAAAACTTAGTTTTGTCCGGTGTCTTATTTCACAGATTTCTTCTGCCCAAAGCCCAGAGTTCATCATAACTGTTAATGAAATGCTGCTAACACACAACCAAGGGGAGACACATCAGTCCAAACCAAACTACCAAGAAGTATTTCACTTTAACCTTGGAAATAATTGCTGTCGTAATCATGGCTTTATGCAAGATATTACGTTCCCTTGTTGTCTAGGGTAAAAGGGATGTAACAAAATATGAACTAACACTAGTTAAACTACTAACCATGTCCCACACAACACACTTCACAATCTGCACAGGTCACACACTGACAGCCATGCAGCTCACAGGAGGAGGGAGAGAGAGAGCAGCCTTCCTCAGCCCTTTATGCACCTGGAGGGAGACAATCAGGGGGAGAGAGGGGGGGGGGAGACACACAAACACCACGGCACGTAACACAAGACTTAAACTCACTTACATTTAAGCATCATTACACTTATTCGTAGGGAATATCAGTAGAAAGAGTTGTGCTCTAAATGTTAAATTACAGATGAACTCATGTTCATCAAAACGACACAGTGTGCTGATGATAAATAAACGGTATAGATGTTTTCAAAATGTGTTTTATTAGGAGTTTTAGGTTGCAATAAAGACACACTTAAATATGTTGTCAATTGTTAACATGAATTTAAAGGATAGCAACATTTCTCTCATTTGTTTTTTCTTTCATTTCTGCATTATAAGAAAATGATCTTTTTTATTTTAATCAATACAAATATAGTGATCGTGATTTGAACAGTATACTTTATTTAATAAAACCTTTGAAGTTGTATTCAATAAAAATGTAATTTGAAACAAACTGATTCCTCTTTTAATGAAAAAAAATGTTCCCTTCAATTTTTGTGAAACAGTTTTGTTATGTTTATTTTTATATTTCCTCCTTATTTGTCTTACTGTTTATTTTTCCAATTTTATTAATTCGATTTGAATATTTCTGTCTCCCTTTCTCTCTCTATACCTTCCTCCTGATCTCCCTCACCTCCTCCTCCAGGTGTGCTTCCCCCCTCAATGAGTGTCTCAGTAGGGGGGGAGAATGTGAGGGTGTTGCTGGTGCCAGTCCCAGTCCCAGTGCCCGTTTTCATCCCAGTGCCCATGAGCATGTACTCCCAGTACACACCTTTTCCAATGGCGATTCCTGTGCCCGTACGTCCTAATATATTCTAAGAAAATTGTTTTTTTTTCTGCAGCAAATGTTATGTAAACGTGTTCCTCCTGTTCCTCCCAGGTTCCAGTACCTATAGTAGTACCACCACAGAAGAAGGAGACGAGAGATGCTGCAGTGCAGTCAGAGCCTCAGGCTGTGACGGAAGAAAAGCAGAGAGATGTTTCCACTGCAGGTGAGCAGCACAGAGTCCCTGTCCTAACATGGTGTATTACAGCCATTTCAATCTGGATACAGTGGTAATATTCAGGAAAACTCTGATTTGACGAGATTAAAATTGTACATTTTGAGAAAAAAAAGGTTAATAGATTCGGAGTGGAAATCTCTGCAAGCAATGTGAGTTCTTAAAAAATATAAACTTTTTTTTTTTTTTTATCTTTTAAATGTATGTTAATAGAAGATTCGCTTTTTGTGTGCAGGTGAGGCCGCTTTTGTCCAGGTTTTTATGTCTTCAAAGGACACCAAAATGATCAGTTTTTGATCAATTACTCAAATCATGAAAGAATCTATTTTTTCTCGCATGACTCCATCATGAACAAAGAATCCAAGAATGGAGAAAAGTCTTAGGGAATGAACCTCAATGTACTTAATTTAACAAAAACCAAACAATGTAAAAACATCTGTTTACAAACTGCAACCAAACTAATGCAGTATAATCCAAGCCTCATTTGAACAGTAGTATGCTCACTACTTCCTGAACACAATCATTGTTGCTAAAACATCACTTTTGAACTAGTTTCAGTGAATATGTGTTGGGGAAGAAGTGAACATATGACCGGATAATTGAGAAGTGTATTAAAAAGCACAAGATGGTTTATAAGCAGATGTTTGATATAGATTTGCTATCTTCAGTTTCTTTTTTTTAAAGGGGCATTATGCAAATGTTCCGGTTCATATTTGTATTAAGTGTCTCTACTGTGACATGTCTCCATGCTTTAATGTTCAAAGAGCTCTTTATTGTTCTCAAACTGCCTGTGCTGCAGCACCTCTTTTCACCCTCTGTCTGAAACCAGAGCCCAGTCTGCTCTGATTGGTTAGCTGGCCGGCTCTGTTGTGATTGGTCAAATGCTTAGAGAAGTCCCACTCCTTCTACAATATGTTGGAGTGCTAACCAATAGAAGCGCGACTGTTACATAGTGATGTCACTATGTTCAGAATTAAACAAATGGAGTGCAGTATAATCCAGGAATTAAACAAATGGGGGTGTTTCAGGCAGGGGGGGGGAGTGTGTGGGAGACCAACTCTCTGGAGTGAACTTTGGAATTTTAGCCTTTGCAGACCATTTACATGCACAAAAACCTATATAACACTACAGGAAAGGGAAAACCCCAAAAAGCATAATAGGGCCTATTTAAATCATATAAAGCATGAGATACAGTATGTTTGATAGATTATAAATCCGAGTACTCAATAATCAAAAGTCACCAATGTCTTTTCCTCCATGTTTCTCTGTGTGTGTGCTACAGACCAGATAAGTCCTCATAGTGGGGACATGGAGTCAGAGGTGGTCGCCCCCATGATCCGTGAAGTTGAAGAGACTGAAAAAACAGTACAGGCCGACCTGCCGCTAACTGTGAGTTCAGAGAGGAGCACGGAGTCATCTGATCCCCAACTAAGCACCCAGCCAGAGGTTACTACGACAACTAGCGAGCCTCCTACCACCAGTGCTGAGCTTCAACCTCCCTCCTCTCCATTGATGGACCTGGAGACTGATATCCCAACTGGTGAGACGTCCTACTACTTCACATAAATGGGTTTGTTGGGTAAAAACTGGATTTTATGCTGCCACAACTTTTGTTTGTTTCTGCAGAGTCGTTGGATCAGAAGCCAGCTGCTCCACAGAGAGGAGTGAAGCGATCTAGAGACCCTTACTGCAGCCGGAAACGGGTGAGATTCTGCTCAGAGATCAGCAAAAAACTTCAATATTTTGTGGCATTATAAAGTCACTTATTCACCACAAAAAAACTTGAGCAATGCAAGTCTTAGACAAAATTACAAAAAAGTATCTTAAATGACTTTATTTAACAAAAACAATAACGACTATTTCATCTTTTTTTATTGTCAATTTCATATCAGTGAAATGCCTGACTTTTGCCACAAGAACATTTAGCTTGGTAAGGATTGGTTTAGGGTTACAAGAGGCAGGAGTTCCAGATCATTGTTTTATTGTATATTATGGACTGTTGATTGTTTGCTGGTTGATATGGCAGAAAAAGGGGATAACACCTCACAGTTAGTTTACATATTATATTTATAGTTCAAGTATTATGGCAGCAAAGACAATAGACAATAGACAATATTCAAGTTTTTTGTACATTTGTGAACTTTTCCATGAGAAGAGAATAGTCACTTTTGTTTTTACTTAAACCTTCTCTGATATTATCTCCCCTGGCTCCATAAGAATTGTTTACCTACCAAAGCCCCAAAACGCTATCATATTCCTTGGATGTTATGTAATATATTGTTCATAACCACAATGTTTCAATTACGCCCAACATGCATTTTGTGCTCAAAGTCAATCTTTCATTGCATTTGAATCCATCCAGAGTCGAAGGCGTACTGGCTCCTTGAACCACAGTGCAGTGCGGACTCCCCCCGCCTCCAAACTGAACCACGTGTACGGGGTTAAAGCCTGGAGAAGCTGGGTCCAACAACAGAACCAACAGCCCACAAGATGTAAGACTTCGTTATCAACATCCAACCCAATGATTTGTTCCGTTTTAAACTGTTTTATTCTACACTAGTTGTGTTTTGTGGTCTCTCCCCCTGCAGCCAACATGGTGGATGTTAAAGAGGACGTGCTTCAATGTGACTCTGCTGAGCTCAGCTTCGCTCTGTCTCACTTCATCACTGATGTGAGACGGCCCAATGGAGAGACCTACAGCCCAGACAGCATCTTCTACCTCTGCCTGGGGATACAGCAGGTACACACACACACACACACACACACACACACACACACACACACACACACACACACACACACACACACACACACACACACACACACACACACACACATACACACACACACACACATACACACACACACACACACACACACATACACACACACACACATACACACACACACACACACACACACACACACACACTCACACACACACACACACACACACACACACACACACACACACACACACACACACACACTCACACCAACACACACATTATATTGTTTCATTAGTTTCCATCTTGATTTACGTATTTCTTTTAGGCAGAAGTGCAGAGAAGTTAGCATCGCAAGGGCTCCCATTATAAACGCCAATCAGAATTCTCCATTGGATTTTGGAATATTGAATACAAAATAAGCTATGAGGGAAACACACGTTTATGATACATACACATTTTCTTCAGCAGGATCATCTCCACATATTAACAAACCTTTTATAGAAGTTGAATCGTCAATGCAACAGCCAGAAGTAAATAAGGTAATGCTAGGCTATAAACTAACTACATGACGGTTAAATGGCGCTAAGCTAAAGGCAGCTAATGTTCGGCGTGATGACGTTTAGTAGTTTAATTAAGCCATGTGTTAGCAACTGCAGTTTTTCTGACACATAGAAGCTTCAGACATTCACCAGTGGGGTATTAACTGTATTTTATGTCAGAGAACTATCTTATATTTAACCAAAGCTCTTATTTTAGGCATCTAACCAAATACACATGCTATGCTAAGTCATTTCATTTCTTTTCAAACCTTTATTTATCCAGGTGTATCCCATTGAGATCATTGATCTCTTTTTCAAGGGAGACCTGCTCAAGTAGGTTCCACATGAAACATAAAAACATAAACAGAACAACAAAAAGGACATCATACAGCATCATTACAGGGATTACAATTTACATACTATCCACATGAACAGGTACCAACAGCTTCCGATTCAGTAGCATCCAACCGAGCTTTAAAAACATTTAGTGGCACCAGATTGCTCAGTTTCCATTTCAATTGCAGACTATTCCAAGACAGGAGCTGCGCATCTTGGAGTCATGCTTACTAATGCTAAGTCATTTCCAGGTATTAGGACTTCCTGCAGCACCCATTGATTTCCCCTTCTTTTCTTCTTCTCTTTGGACAGTATCTGTTCTCAAAGGGCCGCATAGAGAACATCTTCACTGACGAGCTCTACAGTCAGTTTACCACCAAGATCAGCGGGATGCTGCAACTCTGGAAACCTAAACTACTAGTACCGAGTGGTAATATCATAAAGCCATAGTGGAGATATTCATCAAATCACACCACAGTTTAATCATGTCTATTTTCTGAAATAACCAGTCAATGTATTTTCATTTCTAAATGTCCTCTCTGTATAAAATGTGTTATGTCAGTTATAGATTCAGATTATATACAACTTTAAAGCTGCACTAGTCAATATTTAAATATTGACGACTACATGGATGTGTAATTACAGATTACTTTGATAACAGGTTCGCCATATCCAATTTATAAGTTGATAACATGTAGTGTTTACAGCGTGTTCTACTGGCCAGAGGTGGCCAAAGAAAATATGAATGGTTCTAAATATAAGAAGATTCTCCCAACTCTTTTTTATGCTTTTAAAAAATAATTTTAAGCACTCTACTATTTACATTTTTTAGTTCTGATTTAAGATATTTAAATTATTAGGTGAAATGTACAAAAACCTAGAGAAATCTGTCATTTCCTCTCAAGGTGCGCTTCACTTGGTTTATTATAGAGTTATATATTTTTTTCAGTTTTAATCTAATACACATTTCAGAACTTGGTCATTTTAAATTCTATATTTTAACCAGATTACGGATTGTATTCATCGAATGCCTGGATCAAGTTATCAGAGAAACATGCAGAGCTAAGCTTGGTAAAATCCTGCTGAACTCTAAACGCCACTAAACTCCGTATTTGTTCATGTTTGTTTTGGACAAACCCCGCCCCCTCCACCGTCCTCCTCCAGGTGCTGCAGTCTCCTCCCGGGTGGTGGAGTCCTACCTGTGGGAGTGTAAGCAGCTGGGCGCCTACTCCCCCATCGTGCTGCTCAACACGCTGCTCTTCTTCTGCACCAAGAACTTCGGCTTCACCACTCTGGAGCAGCACCAGAGCGTCTCCTTCATCAACTTCACCCGACTCTCCAAACCCTGCAACAAAGCCGGAAAAGTCCTCTACCTCCGATACCAGCGGAGCAGCAAGGACCCCCACCGCACAGGTACACTAAAGTAGAGGTTTTTTCTTCTTTTTGTATAATTTTGGTTTTACTGAATGAGTTGGGGTTTAATTACATAACAATTCAAATGTCAACATGACACCAAAAATTCACAAAAAGATAAAGAATAACAATGTTGATGAAAAATGGTTGTCATCAAATAGTATTGTATCCCACTCATACTGGTAAAACAAGCAAACAAACAACCACCTCCCACCCACAGTAGAAGTAGAGTTTTTTTCTATCCTGCTGAAATTCTTAATCTGACGGTATGTGGTATAAAATATCAGGTATCCGTAATTGTTAGTATGACTACCTGAGTCGTGGTACTTTCTTTGTTTTCAGAACGATATAGAAAAAGGCAGGGAGAGGAAGAGATGCTGGAGATGCTTGAAAATGTCGCCAACCCTCTACACTGTCCTGTCAGGCTTTACGAGTTCTACCTCTCCAGATGGTGAGACACACACACACATGTACATACACACACTGAAAACACATCTATTTAGATTCGTTTTTTTATTAGCGACAACCCCATTTCACTGCTCTTTTAATCTTTATTATTCTTATTATTTATTTTTGATATTGTTTTATTTATTTATTTATTTTATCGTTTTATTAGTGACATCCCCTTTTAAAATGGTCTTTTATTGTTTTTTTCCTTGTTCTTTTTTAATATTATAATAATGATAAATTGTAATTATTGTATTTATTTAATGTATTTATTGTATTTAATCATTTTGTCTTATGTCTACCTTTATTTTACAGAGAGAGATGATTATTTATTTTATTTGACTTATTCCACCTTTTACTTCCCTGCTTCCCTTGCACTGTTATGTTATATTGTAATGCTGCATGTGTGCAAAACGCTTAAAAACGTTTGACCTGAAGTAAAAAAAAATAGTTTTACTTGCGATTTGTGTAATGTTGTTAAAGCACTCTGAGCTGCACCTGTGTATGAAAAGTGCTATACAAATAAGCTTATTTTTATGATTGTTATTGTTATTATTTTTATTATGATCCTCTCTGCTCTCTGACAGCCCGGAGTCGGTGCAGACGAGAAGCGACGTGTTTTTCCTGCAGCCGGAGGAGGTTGTGCACACTCACAGGTCAGTGTGTGCTCCAACATTAAAGAAACACACAAGTGACACATGAGTGTGTCACTTTATCACCAGGGCTTTCTACCCGCCATTTTATTCATACTGTTTATATTTGTACCCTAATATGATGTTATGGCTTTAGGGTCAAAATGATCTGCCACTATGTTTAACAGCAGAGAAAAAAAGGTCCCCTATTATACTGTTTTTCAACAATAGATTATAGGTCTCAGATAAATACAAAACATGTCTCTGAAGTGTTTGGCTCGAAATACCAAACAGATCATTGTAGCATCCCATAAACCCCTCTGTTTCAGCCCTGTTTCAAAAGTGCTGATTCTGTGTCTGTAGCTTTAAATTTCCCACGAGCTGCTGCTGGCCACGCCCCTCTGAGAGATGATTGGTTAAAAAAACACAATGGAGCTCTTGGAAGGGGTTCCGGGGCCCTTTCTCATGTCATCAAATGTCCCTCCTCGACTCCCCTCCTCGACTCCTATCCTCGAGACTTAGTCCCGCCCACAGGAGATGCGAGCGGAGGAGCCGAGGAGGGGAGCCGAGGAGAGAGGAGGGGAAGCAGCAGGCGGTTAGAGAAATGAGAACTCCTCTCCTCTGAGCAGTCATTTTAAAGAGACGTCCATTAATGATGACAGGAGGCACAGCAGCCCTCTGTCTGATGGACAGATGTGTTCATGATGACTTATATATTTACTTTGATTCATTCACAGTGCGGTATAATGAGACAATAACAGGCTACAGATGCGGACATACACACAGACACACATATATGTATATACAATTTCAGAATCAAACAGAGCACTCTCATAATAACGTAACACTATCAGAGACTGGATATATCCCCCCCCCCCTCTCTGGTCGCTACAATGAGGGAAATAAATGACGGGCCAAAAGTTTTATTTACAAGTATTACAAGTAAGCAGAGGACACCAAACCAACTGAGACCTGTCTGTCCGCTGCATCTACGCACACACTGTACCACACACGCACCTATACCACACACACGCACCTACAGCTCCTAAAGCATATAATCAGGCTACAGCCGTTGTGTATTTTATTATGTGAAGCACTAAATGGTTTTAGAAAAATATCGACTTTGTTTGTAGATATCTACAAAACTAAAGCAAATAAAGAGAGTAGGCCTGTTATACTGAGTGATATGATATATATTATACACACTGCTCTGCTTTCTGCACGGACCTCACAGCTGTTCTCACTGTAAACATCGCGTCGCGATGAAAGCAGTTCATCAAATAATATCCAGGGGATGCATGCAGAGCTGTCATTGGCTGAGATAAGTCCGGCCGTGCGTCTCGACTCTTTGAAACATCACTGTTGCCGGAAATGCATCCACGAAGGAGCCGTGGAGGACCGTGGAGGACCCATCAGTGTATCCTCGGTTAGAGCTCCTCCAGAGAGCCTCCTCGACGCTCGATGCTCGGTCCTCGATGTGCATTTAGAGAAATGAGATGTCCTTCAACATGGCGCGCTAAAATTCATTTCCGGGTCACTACCGGAGGACCGAGGAGTCCAGGAGTCGAGGATGGGACATTTGATGACATGAGAAAGGGCCCAGGTGATAATGTGGGGGGGTGTTACCTTGGTTGGTGATTGGCTAATGGTTGCACCACCCAAAAACATTATGACATCATAAAGTGGCCAAAATCTGATCAGCTCATTTTCAGACAGGTTTTTATATAAATGGATCAGGACAAAAAGAGAGGGAATCTTTTTTCCTGAAACTTTCTGAATCTCTTTACACAGAGGGGACATATGTTGATGCATAAAGACATGAAAAAGTGGATTTTGAATAATAGGGGACCAATATAAGGCTTCTTATTCCATATAAATAAACCCTATGGACTAACTCTATCCTTACAGAAAACCCATGATGAGGTTGTTTATAAACAACTCTATAAAAGCTACAAAAAGCAACACTACAGCTTCTACTATCATTACCTAGGTATCTCTGGCAATATATGCATCCGGACCTGATCCGGACCAGCACCAAGTGCCAGTCACACAGTCAGAATTTTGTTTAGGGGAATTTTCTTATTTTTATGTAATGTCTATTTCTGACCCTGCAGTTCCCTGTGGTACAGCTGTCAGCCACTGGAGGGCGCCACTCTGCAGAGCATGCTGTCTCGCATCTTAGCCGTCAGAGAGGTGCACCAGGGGCACGGAGCAGCCTCGGCCCCCGCTGATGACGACGCTTTACCGTGAGGGGGGACTCTGCCTGTGATATTCTCCACTGACGTACAGGTTAAAGGGAATCACTGGTGACCCAGCCCCCTTTATTCAGACAAAGACTGACAGGTGTTTGAACTGGGCACACAGAAGAGAAAGACAATTAAAACACATTTGAAGAACATTTCATACGGATCATTGTGTTTACTTTCCTCAGTTTTCATTCCCTCCCCACATATATGAGTTTACATACTTTGTCATAAGTCTGACAAAGGGATACATTGTTAACACTGTCTCCTTCTTTCATTGTGTCACAGTGATAATTAAGGCCATCATTAGTACATATGGCAGTTCATTTTACAGTCAGCTAAGGTCCATGCTGAGCCTGTCAGATCAGCAATAGAGTGGTGCAGGGATGACGTATTTTTGTAGGCCGACCCGGAAATAAACTGCACATGGGTTCCCTCGACAAAAAAGCAATGGGATCTCTCCATAGGATAGCTATTTTCCAAAATCCTATGGAGAGATCCCATTGGCTCTGAGACGAGGGAACCGAAGTGGTAAAATGCTAACTCACTTCCGGGTTTTAGGACTCGTCACTGCACCACTCTATACTAGACTGTGCGAGCAACAAACAGACAAGAGTGTATACGCTGAATCATCTCTTTATTACAGAGTTTAAAATTGATACTTTATCGTTATTGCCCCTACTTGCATTATAGTCTAGTTGCCAGCATAGTGAAACCCGGAAATGTAGAACCCCAAGTTTTATGATAGAAATGTAAAGTACGGGTCCCCAGCACATAGAAACAGCCGGATGCTAACTTGCATATGTTGGGAACACAGTAAGCATAAGTTTCTTTAATTTAGATATATGGCATTATAGCCTATGTAAACAATAGTTATAAAATGGCAGTTTTAACCAGAAAGTGGCCATATTTGTACTCCCAGTTTCTATGTGCTGGGGACCCGTACTAAACATTTCTAACGTAACACTTTGGGGTACCTAACATTTCAGGGTTCACAACAGGACTCTATGAGCTGGCGACTAAAACATCGTAGAAAGAAGAAAAATGACAGATCTTGGTACTGGTATTGAAGGATTGCATTTAAAGAGGCCCTATTCTGCTTTTTGTGGGTTTCCCTTCCTGTAGTGTGTTCTGCAGGCTTGTATGGTATGTAATGGTCTGCAAAGGCTAAAATCCCTGTGTTCCCAGAGGGAGTTTCTCTCCCACACACTCCCCCCCCCCCCCCCCCCCCCCCCGGCTGAAACACTTCCATTGGACTTTACTTCCGTAACATAATGACATCAATATGTAACATTCGCGCTTCTATTGGCTAACGCTCCAACACATAATGCGTGATAGGGGGGGTCTCTAAGTTGTTATCCAATCACAACAGAGCCCTCCAGCTAACCAATCAGAGCAGACAGGGCATGAAAAGAGTTGGCAGAATGAGAAAAATAAAGATATTTCTTAACATTAAAGCATGGAAACAGTAGAGGCACAAAACCTGCAGAATATGTCCTCTTTAAATGTCTAATTTAATATGTTAGTAATCTGTATATCAGTGTCACCCTCCTTGTAATAAGAGAGGACACTCATAGTGCCTCTCATATTTGTACTGTTTTATTATCTACTTATGTGATATTACTTTTTTAATTTGTCATCCCGTGTGGCCTTATTTCCTCTTTTCTTTCCTCAATTCTTTCCTCTGGAGATAAAGTAAAAAAGTGGCTCATGACCCACATCCACTTTATTTCAGTGAATTTAATCAAAATAGTCCATGTAGGTATTTACAGACCACCTTGATTGATTTGGGATATTTCCAAATACAATTATTATAATGATAACTACAATGGGACCAATACTCTACTCCCCCAATATTATTTTCTCCTCTTTTTTTTGTTCTTCCATTCCATTTGTTCCATCATTTGAAAAATAAAATTTGGATGAGCGGCAGACAAGTTATTTTTTCTATCCCGCTGTATTATAACAAATTGTGTTAATGGTTTATGGTATAGTATGGCTTGTGTTGGCCATACTTACAATCAAAACAATATTATGACGATTTGCCTAAAATGTGTCAAGAGCGGCCCTTTTGTTTTTATTCATCTATCCATCTGAAATGGATGTCTGCTGCAGATAACAGCTGCAATAGAACTCTTATTTTGAAAAGATTCTGATCTTTGTTTTTTAAATGGCATATATAGATGGAAACATGGACAAAATGTTCCCAAACCTGTCAGGATGTACTGAACATGAACACCTTTACTTCTTGTAATGTCCATTTGATATCATAGACTTTTGGATCATAATTTGGATAATCACTCATTTCCAAAATAGTTTTAACCTTTTTTAAATTTTCCTTTCATGAGTGGTTCAGAATTCTCGATTTTTAATACAAAATAGTTAATTTGTCCTTTTTTTTATGGTCATAATGACTCGACTACCCACAATGCTATGTGGTAACACCATGTTTCTTGTAATGCTTTTTTTGCCTCAACATTTGACTCATGTTTGATAACAAAGCTTTACATTGCCGTGGGGACTGATTATAAGATTCCAATCTAAGAGGTCTGTAAATTATATTTCTTAAACCACACACTGCTGAATATCACTGCTGCCGTCTGAAGCTCCGCGGGTCAGATTCTATCGTCATGCACAAAATGCTGTATTTCCATAAAGTGTTAAAAAATCATCTTATTCCCTTCTTTTCATTTCAAATCGGACGTTGAGAGTGTGTGTGTGAAATATCAGTGTCTTACAATATTTACTAATTCAATATTAGTAGAGACAATTTATGAAACCGACAAACAAACAGATATATAGAAGTGGGAGGGCAGAAAGCATAGCTTATAAAGAAAATAGCCCTCCTGTTAGTCATCCAGTTTCAGGATGAAAACATTATAAATAAATCAGTATATAAATACCCACACAAATAAACAAAATTCTATATCTACATACTAGACATACACATATACTGTACACACGTATATATGTACACAAATACATACACCCATTTCCAGGGCGAAAAGTAAAGAAAAATACATTCATAGTCCATGTACAGATTACAAGACAGTTTCATTTCTCATACTATTTTTAAATCAATTAGGATCATTATTAATATTATTAATATATATATAATACATAATATATATATATATATATATTATGTATTTATGTATCTATTAAAGGTAAACCAAAACACAATGACAAAGAACAAAAACAACAAACAGGCAAAAGGAATCCTTTCTATTATTCTAGGTATATCCTTGTTGGTTATTTGAAGTAGTAAAGTTGTTCTAGGGCTTTCTACACAAAGTGTTAGTTTGCCTAATTGGCTACTTTCTGACTGAAATTTGTTACTGCTTTTGGACGTTATAAGGTATTTTGTTGTAGAAAATATTGTGCATCACCATAGCTGTTTTAAGCTTAACAAGGTCAACACATTTTAATAGACTGAGTTTTTAAAAAAGCAGAGATGCATGTTCACATTTTCCTACCCCCCATACAGTATGTACAATCAGAAAACTGAAAATGAACTCTAAATGCAAGTAATCAACTGATGAAGTTGAATGTTGATATATTTAAGTTAAAATATTTACCCAATCACTTTTAGTGTCTGGCCTTAAGTAATTTGGAGACAAATTTCAAGACACAAGTTAATTATTTTGATAAAAGTCCCTATTGTTATTAAGGCCACATGTGTGAATTTCATCTTGTGCTAACATCTAGAAATTCCAAACACTGAATTCAAATTAATATCAATGAGTTTCTGATGTTCACTGATTTAGAAACACCTTTCTTTAAACATTTATTTGAATGCATCACAAAGTAATCAACACAAATATGTTGTATTTATTTATAAAAGTTCCATTTCAGAATAGGCAATCACTTAATGACATAAATGACTTGGTTTTGATAAAACACAAAAGCCAAATTGTCGCAGTCAAAGGTTTGGAAGCCCAACCTATGGAAGCCCATTTCTGCCAATGATGGGGAAACAATATTCTCTAAGCCAGGGGTTTTCAAAGTGTGGGAAGATGAGCCTCCCCTCAGAGAACATAAGCCGCGCCCCCCCTCCCAATTATTATTGCTATTATTATTATTGTTATTGTTTCTATAATGCAGGGGTATTCAATTGCATTTCAAAGAGGTCCAGTAAGAGAACATTTCATTAAATGCTCTGTTTTCGCTGTCTACCTTTCTCTTTTTTGAGAACGCCATTTTGAAATTACTCTGTTTCTCTCTTCTTGTCTCGTCTCTGTGTGTGTTTGAATCTATCGTGCTGACTCACTGACTGCACCGATTTGATTGGCTGAGTAGCGTCAGTGCCATATAGAGAGAGAGTTCAGTCAGACAACTCACGTATTTCTTTAACATGTTTATTAGAAGCAGCATATAGTTGAGTTTGGCAACTAGGCTCGGGCATCATCACTCCACAGATATACATAGCACGATGAGTGATGATTAAATAACTAACCCCGAGCCTACAGGTGGATGCTGGGATGGAAGCTGGGGTGGTGGTGGGGCAGGCAAACAGCAGCAGCATGAAACACAGCAGTAGCAATGTGAACGCAATAGCAGGGCACGAACGCAGCAGCAGCAGCAAGCAATGCATGGAGAGAGATCTGGCAGGTTAAATAGAGCGGCATATTAAGGAGACTCTGTTTGGTTGGTTGTAGAGTGGCAAGGGGCGTTATGTATGAATGTGCTCGAGCGTTATGTATGTGCTCGGCGTTATGTATGAAGTGCTCGAGTTGACTGCCTGAACTAGCTCGCAGGCTTCGCCACATTTATGACAACGGAAGTCCAAAATGCTTGATCGTCACGTGGTTCAGGGAGAGTCAATAGTTCCCCGGAAGTTCGTGGCGGGACATATGAATGCATAATTACCGGAGATAGAACTACGATTTTTGGTGATAAGTGGTGAATAAAGGTTTTGATTTGCAATATTTATACAACATACCGATATGTGTATGTATTTACATCAATATGTTTTAAAAATAAAATAGAATCTGCTAATATTTATGGGTAATATTAGGAATAGTGTGAACAGCTAGTTTACTTGTTAACATATACATGTTAGGCTAACGTTGCCTTGGTTAAAGAGCCTGTTGCTGTTGTGTATTGCTTTGAATTATTTAAAACAAATATTATCTTCTTAAACAGGTATGGTAGTCAG